TTAAGGCCATAATTTTCAAGGGGTGAAAATAGGTCGAGTATTGAAACATCCCCATCGTGTATTCCCAAAGAAACTTATAGGTATTATTACTATTAATATAATCTACAAAACGTAATGAAACATTCAGACGAAAGCATGAGCTTGAACTTCATCAACTCATTTTGATCTGAAATGAATAGTACCTTAAACTAATAAAATGAAAATAATCGTGAGTCATAGTACTCACTTTATTTTCATAGTTAAGGATCTGTAATGTAACAAATGAAGATGGTAATCTACAACCATTGCTGATATATTAAACTACAAAGAAATAATGTGACGGAGCCATGAGGGCAGCAAAAAGCTCATTTGAATAAACTTACGATGTAAAACATCTTCGGCGCATAAGTAATTTCGAACGCACCCGGCTCAAGGGATAGCACGCGCCGGCGCAGCTTATCAAAACACCTACGCACAATACTCTTCTCATATGTACGTACAGCCGCTATTCTTTAAATTTCATTCAAAATATTTAAAAAGCTATATTATATAATAATTTGTGCTCGAATTTGTGTTATACTTAATAAGCTCTCGATTGAAATGTATACTTTAAAATTAGCCGAGTTAATTGTAAATATTACTGTCAGTCATTTTCGTCGTCTCGTTTTTTGATGTGGGGAAGTTTGGAATAAGAATTAGAAACCTTCAATGGGCCTCGATGAACTTTGACACAAATACAAGACCGACCCATGTTATATACTTCATAAAAAAAAATACCTACGCCGTCAACCATTGCGAATCTGTCTCGACTGTAACAAAGGAGGCGTACGAACTTTTGTCGAGACGGTCCCAAAAAATAATAGAAGCTCCCTCAATTTCTTGAGCTCCCCTTTTAAAAATAAGTATATACAATATTTCTACTGACATCAAACCAGCTGGTCTATTCAAAGTTTAAAAAAAACGAGCTTGTCTCCACGTGGTCGGAAATTCGACTGGTTTCTTCATGGATGTTATTTAAACGTCTTGAATAGTGACTCAAACTCATTTTGACACGAATACGGCAATAAATTATACATTATAGGTGATTCGTCGAGCAATTTATTGGTAAGTTATTACGTAAAAAACTCTATGTTAATGTTAACTAGGCGAGTGTGGATAAAAGTAGACTATCATATAAAATAAGTTCTTAATAAGAAGGTATTGTTGTTAGTTAGTGCATTAACTGTAGTTGCAATCGTGTGAAAGTCAAGTCCTACCCTCACCCCAATTACTTTGGCATTCATAGAGTTGATAAGGTTGAGCACTCTTCTTATCGATATCGATGAAAGGCCATCTTGGGTTATCATGCTATAACTTTTTACAAACACGCAGAGTGAATGATAAAATACATAATATATGTAGGTATAGTTGGATAAGAAGTGTTCATAATAGTTTCTTAGAAAAGTTAACATCAAAGTATTCTTCCGTAAGTATCACCAATATTGAACTTTGGGGATATAACAGTTGTTAAGTAAAGTACTGACTTTCTATGTTCTTCCTCAAAAAACTAACTATCTCCTTACTAATTTTCATCTAAATGGGTACAACGGTTTGGGCGTGAAGAGGTAACACGCAGACATAAACAGAGAGACACACTTTCGCATTTATAATATTAGTATTGATAATAAAAAACGGATTATTTATGTAACAAAATTACTACGCTATTGCCATTAGAGAAGGACTAAGGCGCAAAAATTAAAGGACATGTTCACATTTTATCGATAACTAGCCACATCACTTATTCGCACCTTGCCTGCCATCTGCCGCGATGCACGTGAGGCAATTAAGGCCATCGGTTCACTTGGGGGTGGCACCCTCTGTACAGTGGTCGTTTACCTCAGTACAGAGGGGTTGAACATGGTCAATGCACCATTTATTGTTTGAAGTATAGACTCCCACGGACACAGTGAAAGGTTGTCATGATGTCATTTTGAAGAGGGAATTACGAATACATAATTATATGATACACTTAAAGCGAACCGTATTATTGCTGACATAATGTGAAAATACATTATTCTATGAGATTACAGTTTATAAAAAAATATTCTCCATGAAATCTGCTGAAGAATTCATTCCTTTACTTTGTAGATAAAAGCTGTCATAAGCTTTAAAACTAAGACAAGTGCGGTCATATTCGATCACGTCATCGAGGTTGAGACTGTTTAAAAACGTTTGACCTGTATGTACACACAGGCTTCATGGATTTGAGAGGCCCTAAGCAAGGAGGTTGTTCAAATAAAAGTATTAAGAGTAATCCAACAAACGGTTAGTACCTGTATTGTAGGAAACTTTGGAAGGTTCTATCAAGGACAGGTCTCAAATACAGATATTTGCAACAACCAGAATCGAATTTCCCCGATAGTCAAATACTCGCCTTATAGACTTACCAACTCTTATAAAACGAAATGGACAGTAAAAATGTTAATTTGCAATCTATTTGGTATGTATGTAACACTGTAGGTAGAAACAAGTGTCACAAAAACATCAAATAAAAATTCTTCACAAGTATATCTTATGCCAAGGTCGCTTGGGTACTTAAAATTTTGAATGAAACTGCTTATGACTTCATTCAGGACATACCTCGTCGATTAGATACTCTTGCCCGCCCACGATAAGCTGTAGGCATCTTGCAAAAAAGTACGTGAGACCTTGTCCGGAGCTCAAGGTCTCCGAAAGCACGCAGGATAATCCGGGCGATTTCTTATTCAAGGTCATACAGAATTAAATTATTCAAATAACTTATAAATTTATTGCTTCCTTATATACATAAATGATTGTCAACTGTAGGTGGAAACCATACACTGAGAATATATAAAAAGCCTTTAATAAGAAACTTGTGATTTGCATTGCTTTAAATCAGGGATTCCCAAAGTAGTCGATATCCTATTCCCAGGGGTCAACATAAACGAAAACTGATTTTGGGGGTCCAGGTCTAAAAATCGACCCCTATTAATTAACACAAGCTTTTATTTGAAACTTGTAGGTAATATACTGTATAGGTTGTGTGTATTAATGTTTTTTAACGTTATGTAATTACGTTGTATCAAAAAATATTAATTACACTTGATATTTATTGATATGTTTGTCTATTTGTTAAATTTTTATGAGAAAATGATGTCAAGTTTACTCACTTAACCAACTGCATAGTTTTCAAATTGGTAAATATTTTGTATTCATAGGAAAAAACTAGAGATAGGATTTTTAAAGTAATTTGGCTATGGGGGTCTGCGGTATCAGTTCATTTAAGACAAGGGGGTCTCTTGCCGAAAGTAGTTTGGAAATCCCTGCTTTAAACTGTAGTGAATGTCCCAAAGTGATGGTCCCTTCAAAACCCTAGTACACTAGACTATGTAGTGACATCGCCTAGTGTACTAGGGTTTAGTACCATGTTTACTCACATGTACTTTCTGAATCTAGACTGTCTATAGCCACTATTTACGATTTTTTCCAAAGAATCTCCGAGCCTGTTTCTATAAAGCCTTCGAATTTTGCGAGTTCAATAAGTTCAAGGAGATTAATGTTTAAAGCAAGCTCTCGCTTCCTCTTAACAACCGGCTCATAGTTCATAATATATTGGCTATTATCCTTTGTAATCAAGGTCTTTCTGTTATTTATTGTATAAATTCTTGCTTATTCCTTTGAGTTACACAGCCAGGTTTTTAGACCAGAAAGTATTGATAAGGAACAGAAAATTTGGATTTGGAAGTAATAAAGACGAAGAGTAGTTCAAGATTTTCTGGTTTCGTTTAATTTAACAACGTCCGGTAGAAGGCAAGACGACAGCGTTAACACAAACCATTAATAAAATTGTTATTCGCAACGGAGAACAAAATGATACGAAAACGAGTTTCCAATTTTCGTCCAGTTTTGGTAGGTACGACCTGGAGATTGCGTAATGTAAGTAATGGACAGGCAATTACTGCAATAAAACTGAAACGAAGTTGTTTAAATAATATACATACTTAAGTAGCAAAGGTTCAAAATCCAAATAACCCTTCCTTGGCAGTCGAAAAATATTATAAATAAAACTATACGTGAAAATGTTTTATTTTCTTTGGAATACGAGTAGACTGAGAGAAATCGCAGAAGTAGTTCACACAAGGCATAAACGTTCTTAAACCTCTTAAAGCTTTAAATCCAAAAATCATCTGTCTTCTGCTATAGTTCCCTTCATACCCATATCTTCATTCATACCCAAATCGTGCTGGCGCACCTCTACAAAGGACGTTGTAGGAAGTTTGCGATAGTCCTAGTTTTCTAGTCCTATTCGCGTTCTCTTGGTTGATAACATTGAAAACATTCCCCAAGGAAATCACACATGATTCCAGGTAGGTACACTTAATTTTGCCTTAGTGTTGATACAAAATTCTAACAAATACTAATATCATAAAACTGAAGGGTTTGTTTGGTTGAACATTCTAATCTAAGGAACTACTGGTTCTAATAGAAAAAATATTTTCGTGTTGGATAGCCCATTTATTGAGGAAGACTATATAACATCAATCCACGACCAATAGGAGCCGAGCATTAATGAAAAATGTTACAAAAACGGCCCAAATTTATTATTTTTGAGAGTTGCACAGGTCAGCTAATGTATTATATTTATTCTTCAATATACAATAGTATTATAAGTTGAGCCTTATGAAAGAAATACTGCAGTTACCTACGTGTATAATTCAAGTTTTAAAGTGTTAAATGTTCACTTAAGACTTCGATAAAACACGTTTCACACAATGTTAAATGCGGATAAGTGACATCTAAATATATTATATTGAAAATAGAAACATCTTACACTTAAAACTAATATGTACGAAGACAACGATGACAAACTAGCAAAGTTAATTTAATAATCGCACAATGGATATTATCACTATACATTAAAAGAATTAATTGACCATAAATAAGTTCTGTTTATAAAGTATAGTATATTTCAATTTAACTTCTGTTAAAGAAAAATGTAACCAGTGTTTATAGGTACTTACTTTCGTCGCCGGCCGGCAATTGTTTTATTCTCGATCGGGAAATTGAAGGATTCGCCAAAAATCCGATATTGCAAATCGTCGTCATTACTTTGATTTTGCATTTCTTACACACAAATCGTGACGTTTATACTAAGTATTACAAACTTACCACTATTTAATCTTAGAATCATCGTTACAAAACATTTTACACAACAACTTTTGGTAAAAACGCGTACATAATGTAAGTCTCGCTATACGCCTAACTAACTACTATAAAACAGATTATCGAAAAGGGTCTCTTCTTTTTTTTAAACGTAAACGACGCGGTGAATCTCGGCTGTTACGCGCGCGGAGCCGGACTGACTGAGGGCGCGAGCGACGAACGCACGGAACGCAGTTCGGTGCCGCGAGCGCGCGCTATCCTTTCTGCCCTGTGTTGCCACATCTAGGATTCTAAACTTTAACATGGGTAATGCTAAAAATATTTTTATATTAATAAAATAAAAAATGATTTAATATACATCCATACTAATCTAATTAATGCGAAAGTGTTTCTGTTTATCTGTCTGTCTGTTACCTCTTCAGGTTTAAACCGCTGAACCGATTCAGATGAAAATTGGCACGGAGGTCTTCCGAGTCCGGGGAAAGGACATTGGTTAGTTTTTATCCCAGAAAACATCCCTTAAGGGGGTGAAAAGGTGGTGGAAGTTTGTATGGGGAATCAATAATCGTTGAACCGATTTAGATGAAATTTGGTTTGAAGACTATAAGCGATATTTACGAGGGATAAAAACTTAGTACTCAACATATTACTATTCTATGTAGTACTCGTATACTAGTAGTAGGTATTTGTTTTGAAAAATTGTAAATTTTGCTTTAAGTTACTCATTAAAGGATGTTTTGGAACACACATTGGAATGTGCCACTCAATCAACTCATTCTGTGTGAAAAATGGTATAAGGACATTTGTATGAAATACTTTTACTACCATATACAACTTGTTAAACAAAGCTAGGATGAGAAAATATCAAGAACCTAAATGATAACATACCTAATAATATCATAGAGAGGCAACACTGCGTCATTTTATTTGATCGATGGTTGAATTTATTTACCTATTAATATGTGTAGGTACTTTTTTTTCTTTTTAAAAAACAACTCCCCGCATTAGGAATATATATCCTGTGTCGCGGGGGACTTTACAAACATACATGAAACGGACACAAAGAACACCCAGACTCAGAACAACAATTTGTGGATCACACAAAGTGTCGTCCCATGTGGGGTTTGAACCCACAACACTCGGCGTAGTAGGAAGCGGCGAAAATTATTCGACTCAACATTTTTTATGATATAGGAGCCAAACGAACAGACAGGTCACCTGATGAAAAGTGACTACCGCCACAAATAAACGCCCACTCAAGAGTCACAAACGCGTTTAAAAGTCACAACTCACAAACAAGGAGTACGCTCTTTTCTTGAAGGTTTGAAGGTCGTATCGGTATGGGAATACCGAAGGCAACAATTTGTTCCGCAGATTGGTTCAGCGAGGCTAAAGGTTAGGTTACCCACCTATAGGTTGCCACACTTAGGTTTATATTAAGTAGTTATAGGGAGAAAAGTATATTTTAGTTTTAATTATACATGGATGAAAAAATTTCATTTAAAATTATGAAGATACAAAGATACCATCAGAGGGAGAGTATACAAGTTACATAGTTGGATAATTGGCACTCCACCAATATGCGCTTTTCAAGAAACCTTTCACATCACATCTCATCAACAGCCTATACTAGTCCACTGCTGGACATAGGCCTCTCCTTAGAAAGGAGGTTTTGGCCTACGAGGGGTGATCAATAAGTAATGATAATCAATATGAAACAGAACTATTAGATTAAAAAAAGTATTTTATTTTTCAACATAGTCTCCTTGCAAGTTAATACATTTAGTGTATCTTTTTTCTAAGCCCATGATTCCCTTAGAAAAAAAATCTTTGTCTTGACCCTCCCAAAATGCCTCTACTGCGGCCATCACTTCACTATTGTCCTCAAATTTGTTGCCCCGGAGGTGTTCTTTGAGCCGAGGAAAGAGGTAGAAGTCACTGGGAGCTAGATCTGGCGAATAGGGAGGGTGTTCGAGCAGTTCGAACCCCGTTTCTTCAATGGCAGCCATCGCAACTGCGGCTTTGTGAGCCGGGGCGTTGTCTTGGTGAAACAGCACTCCAGCGCGCAGTTTACCGCGTCTTTTTGACTTAATAGCTTCTCGCAATCTTCTTATTTGGCCTGCGTAGTAAGAGCCTGTTATAGTGGCCCCCTTTTCCAAATATTCAACCATAATAATTCCTTCTGCATCCCAGAAAACAGACGCCATAACCATTCCCGCTGAACTTGACACTTTGAATTTCTTCGGCGTTGGTGAGGAAGCTCGTTTTAAAGTCATTGATTGTTGTTTGGTTTCGGGATCAAAGTGGTGGATCCAGGTCTCGTCCATGGTCACAAAACGCGACAAAAAAAAATCTTTATCGGCCTGGAACTTTTGAAGATTCACCCTCGAAATGTCGACTCGTTTCTTTTTTTGCTCGTCGGTTAACATTCTCGGTACCCAACGCGCAGAGACCTTTTTCATATGCATTTTGTTGACAATGATTTTTTGAACGCTGCCATAGGAGATCCCTGTGACCTCAGCTACATGCCTTACGGTCACCCTTCGATCGGCCAACACGATATCTTCCACTTTTTTGACGTTTTCTCCAGTAAGGGACGTGGAAGGGCGTTCCTCGCGATGTTCATCTTCAGTGGAGGTTCTGCCCAGCTTAAATTCCTTTGCCCAGCGTGCGACTGTGGAATATGGAGGAGCAGACTCCCCCAATGTTTCCTCTAAGTCGCTGTGTATGTCTTTGGTAGACATTTTTTTCAGGCAGAGGTACTTGATGACAGCTCTTATTTCATTTTTCTCCATTTTGATGTTTTCTCTTCGACAGTTCGTATTCAAATGAATGTATCTCCCGGTAATGGTGTCCTATTTATACATTTTTTTGAAGCTGAAGTAGTGGATATATAAGCAAGCAGAAAAAAAATAATTTGGGTTTTTGTGCGTTCTAGAAATACTCGATTATCATTACTTATTGATCACCCCTCGTACTATACCACGCTGGCCAGACGGGTTGGTATAGGGTTTGTTTCAAGATTTCCTTCTCTTTGCAGTGCTGTTGTCCTGCTTAGTTTGCTCCCTTAGTCGGCTCTTACGACACCCACGGGATGAATTGGGGTGGTGACAATTTGTTTTCTTAATCCGTCACCACACGGATGCGATGTGATGATGTGAAGTGTGGCAACCCCATTGCATTGGTGTTACTCGCATATGTCAACCTTATCTCCTCTCCAAGAAGATCTGCTTACTCCACCCCGTGATCTAAACGTAATTTTTAAAATATAATACCTAAAAAGTTATTTCGTAAAGTTAATTAAACTATTTCGGAGCTTTCTTAAAATTAGCAGCACACTATTTGACAAAGAATTGTGATTATGATGGATGGTCATTAATTCTACGTGATTGAGATAAAATAGATAAAAGGGCCTTAATTAAAAAACAACTGTGATTATAACTTTTCTTGTTAATAAGTTATATACCGAGTCAAAACTAGACTGTCGTGTTGACAACAGTGAGTTATGTTTTTGTAAAATTTGTTATAAAATATAAATAGATAAAACATAATATTTGCTTAAAGTTTATGTGTGGTAACATGGGCCTATTGTCGATACTACATATATACTTTCATTAATTTAAGTAGTTTTAGGGGTATCCTGTTTTGTCAAGACACCTTATCAATCAGTCAATAATAGAAGAGTTGATGACGTTGGTAACCATTTTAAATTATTAAGGTTATTGATCTATCTACTTAATTATACTCGTATGCTGTCTACTTATGCTTAACCTTAAATATAACCTTATATATATAATCATGGAGACAGTTTTATTTTTTGCATGAGAGTGAATCTTAATAGCTGTCAACTCAAGAAATGTCATTTGATTTGTCAAATATTAAGAGATAAATAAAATTACTAATGTGAGCTGTTATTCTACCCCTTGAAGAATTAATATCTAATTTTGCTCAGAAATTACGGCCAAAGCATACATGTATTACTGAAATCAAGCTAACACAGATTGTTTGTGTTTATAAAGAAAACATTCCGTCTGTTTTTCTGGAGGGAGGGGGGGGGGGGTCCTTAGTGGTTATTCATGTGACTTAAAGCTGGTCGAACCAGTCTTAAGAACGATGACTGCTTATTGAGACTACCACAAACAAATATTTCGCTGTAACTAGCACGGGACAGGAAAGGGTGGCAAAAAGGCGGTGTACGCCCCGCTGTAGAGACCTTTTGAAAAAAAAACACGTTTCTTAGAATCTGAATGGCTTCTTATTTAAAAGATAGGGACGGAACAGAAAAAATGTCTAGACTACTTTATATTATGCTTTGATAGAGCTATGAGGGACAGGACGTGAAATTCTAAATCCTAAAGAATAAAAACACTTATTTATTTCATAGTTTAAGACCCGGGCCAAGCAAAATCAAAATTTGAACAAAATCTACTTAATCTTTCTAAAGTTGAATAACCTTAAATTCCTAACGTGGCAACATATGGCTGCACGGATGGCGTAGTGGTTTAAGCGGTCGCCACACCGCCGTCCTATTACGCCGAGTTTTGTGGGTTCAAACCCCACATGGGACAACACTTTGTGTGATCCACAAATTGTTGTTCTGAGTCTGGGTGTACTTTGTGTCCGTTTCATGTATGTTTGTAAGATCCCCGCGACACAGGATTTATTCCTAGTGCGGGAGTTGTACAAAAAAAAGAAAAAGAATATTGTGCTTACTTTTTTAAATTAATTCGCCGTCACAACGTAAGGATTTTATGCCAGTGCAAGTAAAACGACATTTCGTGCCATGCAAGTCCAATTAATTAATCTTGTGAATGGCCCCTTATCCTGCGTGATCGATACTTGTTTTGCTTAAACATTAAACTTAAAAGCAATAATCATGAAACTTCAGTTTTGATGACGACCAGAGACAATCAGAGTTTGTTACATCACACATCACATCAACAGCCAACAACTGCTGGAAATAGGCCTCTCTTTAGAAAGGAGCAACTTTTGGATGGACAAATCGACAGTAGATGAGAAGAAACAAAGGGTAGTCTAGGTGTGTTAAAGCTACAGTAGTGTTACACATACATATAAATACATAAATAATATATAATATATATATTGATAACCATGAAATCATTTAGTCATGTACAGTTATTGAAAGCAAAGAGTACTTAAGTACCAAAGTAGTTATCTTTGACCATATTCTTAAATGCTGTCAGTGTTTGGGCACGTCTAATGGGTATCGGCAAGGCGTTCCATAATCTGACAGCCTGCACTGTGAATGTCTTGTTATAGAATAGGGTAGTGTGGCTAGTTACCATTAGCTCCAAAGATTCCGACGACCTCAAAGATCTTAGATGTCTGTCACTGAGGAACACATAACGTTCCTTAAGGTAAGGTAAGTAAGGCGGGGTAGATGGTTTGAATAAGATACTATAAAGTATAGAAAGAATATGCGTATTCCGTCGAAGTCGAATTGGGACCTACTTGAGCAATTTACGAAATTCGGTCACATGATCATATTTGCGTAAACCAAAAATGAATCTAATGCAGAAATTTTGAAGGCGCTCAAGAATTTTTATTGTTAAACAGACGATCAATTTTTATAAATAGAAGTTTGTACACTTGGATTTGATAAATAAATATTTATAAAAGCAGCAGACAGCTTCTGAGTAACCTATCAACACATAGCTTACGCGACTATTATGAGATTAGGTTTTTCAATCGTTACTTTTTCGGTGTTTTTGAAAAAAATACTCTTAATTTACTGTTTGAGGAACTACAGATTGAATGCGTAAAATTCATGACAATTCACAAGGTACGCTACGTATTGGTGGATCGGTGTTAGTCAATTAGGTAGTTCTTTTTTTAAGAATATTTTATAGCATCAAAATAAATAACAAATATTCTTGTTAACCCAAATGTTAAGAGCGGGTTTCAAATGCGTAGTGTGGGAACTGGGTGAGATTCAACCATTTAACAATTTTTTAGTAGATTTTTGTTTCATCACTTCTAATGATAAAATAGATAATTTTCTTTTTATAAATTTCCAAGCTAAAGGCCTTGAAAATGGAAAGGTGTTCTAATGCAGTAATATCAAGAATTAAAGATTTTGTGGGCGATAATGATTGCAGACGTGTTTCTAATGTTTAAAAGTACTGAGCTATTTGAGGCCTCTCCAGTCGTATCGAAGCCTTAGGTTCGTCACCTTATCTAGTGCTGTTTTGTTCTACCAACAAGTCTAGGAACCATAGTTACAATTGTTATTTAAAGGTTCTGCGCAGACTAAGCAGATCCTATACATCTTAGTTGGGGATTATTTACCACTTTATGGTACTAAATTAATAAAAACGGTACAGATTTTTTACATATCAAGGAAGTCGATTAAAATTCATCTTTGAGGTCAAAGATTCAGTACTTAACGCTTCTGATAGATAAGCTTAAGAATAAATAATCAATACCTAAATAGTTTATACATAAATATACACTGATAAATAAACGAAAAATCGTGCAAATAAAAAGTTATGTATTTATCTAGGTAGGTACTTACTCTTCTTTAACTATGACGTAATCTTCGTCTGCTTCGGTCGAGAGCTTCGCTTGGAGGACCTTCAGTCTCTCTATCTGGAACTGTAGGTATGATTTTGTGCCTTTTTCTTCGGAGCTGTAAACAAAACACCATTTAGTTTTGATATAGGACGATAAAACTATAGACGAGAGGCGAGACCCAATATTTTCAGATGACGCTCAATGCGTCCTAAAAGAAACTAAGTACATGGATACCAAGTTGCCATTACAGCAGAGATGCCATAATGTCAAGATTTCGTTATGGTCTCAAAATAGATATAAATTGCGATGTGTCCAGCATTCTTGATTGATTGTCGTGAAACCTGTTTTATAGCAAATGTAAAAAACATAGTTGCAGTCAGCGGATATCACAAATAGAGATGTCTTTGTCTAAGGCAGTAGGTATTCTATTCTAACATACATTGCAAGAATTAGGAGAAGGGATCAGGGATACTTATGCACATACCAAAACCAATATCAATTGACTTCACAAAAACGATGAACATTTTGTTTATCGAGGCCAATGACTACAAACTTTTAATAGTCAATTTGTAATGAACGCGGACAATTTTGTCATCATAGGGTACGAAGGAGTATTGTGTACGCTTCGCACAAATATAGATTTACGTTCTAAATTTAAATATGAATTTGATCTCTCTAACTCTCACTATGCTAATTAAGTAGACCAGAATCCAGAGCTTTCAGGGATGCTACTAATGCAACTGAATTGTACCTATCCTATTTTGAAAGAAAGAAATAAATAAAAAAGATTAATTTGACAATAAACACAACACTTTTGACAATTATGCAGCTTAAGTTACCACCGATGCAAAAAACGCAGTATTGTAGCGCTATCATGATATTATTTTAGAGACCGCTATTTAGAAAGCCGTTTAGATACCGCATTTTTAATTGTAATACCCGTATAATCGCTGTGGTATAAGCATTTTACGTTTCAAAAAATTACTAAGTGTCTTGGATAATTTTAGCCAGCAAGTCTCTAAAATTAGAATTTATGTACCGGTAATATGAACATTAAACTTTCACACATTCATCGCTGTCTGACCCTACTTTATAACATGACTAGGTGATCCGCGCAACTTCGTCCGCATATGAGTGCGTCTCCCATTTTCCCCTTTTTGCAACATTTTTTATTGATGCTCGGCTCCTATTAGTCGTAACGTGGTGTTATATACTAGGGATAGAATAAATCACAATCACACGTGGTAAATGATATGATTTATAAACAATATCATTACACCTGTGACTGATTTACAAAACCAAATTATTATTATTACGCTAACGTAAGACTCGCGAAAGGTAGGTAATTGTATGGTAATTGATTTTAATGCCATTTATGATATGATATTATGATTTTATGTCAATGACGAAATCATAATCACATGTAAAATCGCTGTGACTAATGACAATCATTTCATTAAATGAATATGATTTAAACGTAGCTATAAGTTCCATGTCTATTATATAGCCTTCCTCGAAAAATGAGCTTTCTAACACATTTTTTTTTCTATTCGAACCAGTAGCTTCCTGAGATAAACACGTTCAGCCAAACTATTCAGTTTTATAATATTATAGTATGACGAAAAACTTTCGAGTAATACTGCTCTTGCTAGATATAGCACTTTTCGCTATTAGCATACATATTGATTGTGTAAATGGTATTTATTATTTACATTTCCTGCATATTGCATTGCATGTGGCGAACTTAATGTCATAGGCATTTTCTTCCAGTCAACCTTTGTGTCACGCAGAGCTGTGTGTGGCAGGTGTATATTTTAAACTATGTAGTATAATAAACGAACATGTGTTAATTAAAATTAACCTACATACATAAACTAGATAAGTAAAAGTCGCTTTGTTCTATGGTCTGTTAGATAACTTGTGTTTCTACCGATTTTAACTAAATTTACAATAGAATACAAGTTAATTTATTGCATTACAGCCATTTGTAGAAACATACGAAAAAACTATAAGACCGAAAGCAAAGCTCAATACTTCAACACCCGGAGTATTACATTTTTATTACTTAATAAACACTATAGTATTCCTTTCAGCAAAAAAATATTGAATTACAAGTAAATTGACGATTGCAATATTAATTCGATTCTTTTCATAACCGTATCGTCGGAACCCTCGGATTTGATAAGAAAGTTCACACAGCTCATGTTATGTAGCATTTCGCCATTCTTGCGAAATTAATACGCCCCTTTGAAAACAAATATATTTTGAATAGATAGAGAATAAGAGCGGGACAGAAATATCGAAGATCCAATAAAATCTTACAATTACTTCACACCTACTCCGGCTCTACATTCGATCCGAACCCATGCAAATACGAATCTAAAATCTCGGGCTGAATTCGGAATATTGCTTTTCGCATTACCTCCGATTTCTGATTCGTGATTACGGATTCGGAAGACTGACTGACTGACAGAATTCGTTTATTGTTTACTCACTATTGCGATCTCTGATTCTACTCCAAGCAATTCAGGGGTCACCTTTTAGCTTACGTTTACTTACATTTTAAGCAGAGCCAAAACAGAGCGTACACGTCGTTGATCATGAGTCCTTTCTTTCAATCGGCGTCATTTTCTGGCAATCTATTTATATACGGACGACACAGAAGAACTAAAGAATAATGGGTGCGTTCATACAAATATTAGTATGGCTACTTTGGTCCGTCAATATCTTCTCCGGAATGGAGCTTCACGGATAACAGAAAGAAATCTGATGACGGAAGTCGGATCTGGTGCGTAAACTGCTATAGGCTCACGCACGATACGCAGCCAACGGAGATACACTGTCATTTTATTCAGTTAGGAAGCGAGTCGAGTCGAAGGAACCAACTTCACTCCCTCACGCTTCCACTATGTGGGTATATGTATTATTTCTATATATTACTATATGAACCTACTTAAGAAGCTCCAAAATGGATATCATTTCGATACTTCCTCCAGCCGAAATTAGTAGGTAAATACTTAAATAGTAAAGTTTAATGTCAGTAAGTACTTTAATGTCTAGCTGCACGTACCTGGTGAGGTCTAATTACTAATTACCCATACGACATAGACATGTAACATTTCGATAACTAAACATACATAGGTACTTACCATTTTGCAGAACAAGAACTCAATTATGTAGAGTTTCTTTTCTTTGCATAAACTAAATAAATAAATAAAGAGCCGTTTGTAAATTTAGATAAACTAATAGAGATAGGGAAACACGATCTTTATCAATCATAGATGGTTATCTATTACAAGCACGTAGTCGAGTACCTATGCACATAAAAGGTAGGTACCTAACCTCATTCCACGAGTACCAAGGTACCTATCTACTTCTGATAACAGTGAACAAAACAATACCTTTGTTAAAAGACACAATTTAAAAGTTATCTAAATAAACTAACTGCAACTGCGTTCGCATTACATAATCATGAATATAATCACGGACAACGACATTGAACCGTGTTACGTAGCTGTATAATATGGTAAAACATTTTAGAATGAAGGAAATCATAATAAAACCCTGTAATAACTACAATTATTTATTGACAACGTCTATGTTTACTGTTACGAAGTATAAAATAACGAATCCCTTTCAAATAAGAATCCGTTAAATATTCGAAGATCGAATTCGAAGCAAAAACGTTATGAACAACATTATGAATGAAACCCGTGAAAATTATGAACTTTAGTTCTAAATCATCTCGTATTACCCACATAAATATAGCAATGGTCTAATCAAAAATAACATGTGTCAAATAAAGTTAACTTCAGTGAGTAGGAAAGTATTTTAGTGGTTAGAAGTCAACATAATGACGACATTATCGATCGCACACATACCTTGACCGTTCATTTTTCTCCATTTAGGCTTCTTTATAAACTTTATATTCCAATTAAAAGCAAGAATTAAAATTGCATATTATAAATAAGCTATGACAGTGATTAAATTACGCAGAATTGCACATTAATTAAGTTAAATAAATAAAACCTTTTACAAATCATATAACCACAATTCGTTAGTATTCGTTACAATCAAAAGGTGATATCATCTAATTCATTCATTCCAACACAAAACATGTGAGTAAGAAAGAGATAGAATAGAATCCGCAAATAGAATATTATCAACACGACAGTGCCATTCAACGCCATCTTTGGGAAGCAGTATTTAGGTTGAAGTCTATGGTTTGAGTGATGTTGCTACTTTTATTTGATAAAATTCTTAATTTTTAAATCGACTAAAATTCTTAATTTTTTTAAATAGTTCTCATTGGGTCTCATACCTCCCGTTATGTTAATAGTAGGGTAAAGGTCTCATTTAGAAATGAAACGGATTTATTGACCAAAAGCGGATTTCCAACCTAAATTCTCGATGGATGGGTCATTTAGCTTTCAGGTTTAGTTATACGGTTGGATTTCTCAAGAAAAATTTTAAATGTCTTTATGCCCACTACTTAACTTTTCACGATTAAGTGACTTTTAAAAACTCAAAAAACTGAATTATAAGATCATTCAATCATACAACTATTTGTGTGGTTTTTTGTTTGAATGTGTGAAGGGAGAGTGAGAACACAAAGGGAGGATCCTCCGACCAGGCGAGGTCATCATGCCTGGTGGGACGGGGTCCAACGGTTGAGAATTCTTCTTATCGCGATACAGGATTTGCAATTCTCATTCAGGAGGCACTCCGTAGGTCGGTGTGAATTCGTTAGATGGCGCTGTAGTATGTTTCTTCGGTTCACCGTATGTGGAAGTTGCCACAAATGTAAAAACATACCTGAAGATATCCTACAGTAAACTGCAATAACGATTTAAAAGTAGAAAGTTGTAAACAGTGTTGAATGCATCTCTTGTAGCTTACAACATGTTTAATACGGTAACAAAAATGTGATGGATGGACATATGCCTCTCTTTAGAAAGTGTATAGTTTAATATCTTACGTCGGTTATAAACAATATGAACCTAATTTCAATACGTCAAAAATCTTTTTACTTGACAACTTAGTTGAAAGTAACTGAATCAAATATTTATCTTTGATAAATGACATTGTATTGTGTTTTTAACCCCATTTACACACTAATGACCTACATCCATAGCTTTAACGTTAAATGAAAATGAATTTGGGCTGTGAATGAAAGAAATGTTGCTTACAGGAATCGATTTGGTAGTGAAATAAGAGTATTGAAATGGTTTAAAAGCTTTTATGTATGGAAATACAAACGGACGAATAATAGATAAAAGAACGACCTAAGGAAGGGTGAATAGACTGCGTGAAATAAGCAGTACAATCTTGAATGATAGAGCAACATGTAATAAAACAAAAAAAAATAGATTAGGTAGAAGTCTGATCCATTGGATAGCAAATATTATACAATACTTACTACATAATACTTTATTGGGTCAGAAACTTGCAAACAATATACTCTTGAACTCTTCAATTTCTAACAACACTACTCCTTCGCACCGTAGCGGTGTGATCCGGCAGCGCCAACTCAACTCTATGGCTCTACCAGAAATAGAATCAAATGAAATTGAGCATAGTATTCTTAGCCTCAAGGAAAATTGTGCCATAGGTTGGGAAAAAATACCTGCCTCCATTATAAAATCTATTATTAAACTGTTTTCAATTACTGCCTCACGACAGGAGTATTCCCAAAGGCGCTTAAAAGGGCCCTCATACATCCAATACACAAAAATGAAATCTGATAGAGTATCAACAACTATAGACCGATATCTGTTCTCACAACCCTCTCGATTTTTTTTGAAAAAAAACTGGCTTATCAATTTTCTAAACAAAAATGACATACTTGCTAAAAATCAGTATGGTTTTAAAGCAGGCAGGTCTACGGAGGATGCCGTTTTCGGCGTTACAAATACGGTTATTACAAAAATTAACAATAACATGAAAGTTATGGGTATTTTCCTCTACCTGTCAAAAGCTTTTGACACTGTCTCTGTTTCCGGGGTCCGCGTTTTGACCTTGAATTTTGTTAAAAGCTATTTCAGCAACCGCACACGTACGTCATTAAAGTGTCATCATTAATAACGTTATTAGTGATGAAGTTGTGTTAGATTATAGCGCCCCTCAAGGCAGTGTCCTTGGGCCGACGCTATTCCTTGTTTATGTAAATGAGCTCTGCTTATTTAACATTAATAATTGTAAGATGGTTGCCTACGCGGATGACATAGTGCTGCTGGTTCATGATGGCACTTGGGATAAAGTAAAAAAAACACTGAGAAGGCTTTGAGTACAGTAACTTACTGGTTAGAGCAAACTTTCCTTACTCTTAACTTGGATTAATCCATGTATGTTATATTGTCTCTTAGGACAGCAACCCAACCACCAGTCTCTTTTTATTCGTGGTCATTCCTGAGGAGTCACTAGCAAAGCAAGCTGTAAGATACTTACCCGTAAAAATCATATAAAATATCCGGTCGTTATAATTGATAGCAGATTAACATGGAGTTTCCAAGTTGATGGTATACTAACTCGTACGAGAAAACTTATGTACGTGTTTAAGAAGTTGAGAGTAGTAGCAGACCTAAATACCATTAAAACTGTATATTATGCACTAGCCCAGTCAGTCGTAATTTATTGCATTGCAGCGTGGGGTGGATATTGCAAAACTTATTTGTTGCGATTGGAGAGAGCGCAAAGATGTGTTCTAAAAATAATGCTTAATAAGCCTATAAAATTTTTCACATCAGAGCTTTACACACATTGCAGTGTGCTTTCAATTAGGAAATTGTACGTACTTACAAGGGTAATATTACGAAATCATGCACAAGGGTCAGATAGAGTCTGTAAACTTTATATTACTTTATAATAAAGTTAACAGAGAGCTAAATATATAACCTTTAACATTAAAAAAATGTAAAGTTAGGGTGACTGACTGGCTATATGCGTTGTCTTATGAGGATATTGAAACTATCATAAAGGTTGTATGTGGAAAAACGTACAAAAGCACATACACCACTGGCCAAATGTCCTATTACTATCATCATCATCATCAACAGCCTTTACTAGTCCACTGCTGGACATAGCCTCTCCTTAGAAAGGAGGTTTTGGCCTACTATACAACGCTGGCCAGACGGGTTGGTTTTACTATCATCCTGTTTTAGAATTTATTTTTTGGCTTAGAAGTTGTGGTGCTGTTAACAGTCTTTTCACTTTTTTTAGTTGTTCTAATATTCAATATTTCTCCTTTTTTTACTTTGGAATGTATTGTAAGAAACGAATATTGTAATATAATTTTCCACATATTCGGAAGCAGGCGATAATAGTTGCGACACAGTTTCTACTACTGCAACTGTTACCGTACTATTGTATTTTAGACGTCGTAATAATAATAAAAAAACTTAAAACTAATAAAAGGGGGTTAAAAAAAGGCAAGTGCTTCACTTGATTCTTTGAAATAAACCACAAAAACAAACACATCCTATCATTATAATTATTTATTATATATCGAAGATTGTCATGCAGAAGTATATCAAGCGAAAGCTTTTCAGGCCAGAGCTGGCTTGTCTACGAATATGAAGACAAGCGATATTTCAATATTAGGGCATATTGTACTAAAGACAATTTTATTACTTAGTAAAAATGTTGAGATCATTTAAGCTGAACATCAGTCATACTAGTTATGCTTGTAATGAGAAGCAGTCTGTCTCATCTATAAAAATTATCTGTATTTATTTTACTGATATTTTACTAGAACAAAAAGTCGTTCATTACGAGAATACTATTATCTTAAATTTTAACTAGTTTCCGACAAAGTTAGTTAGCTAGTTTCCACAAATTGGAATTTAGTATTTTGATGAAGTAAGTAGTGTGAGTGCAGTCCTTGGTTCGAAGTCAAATAAATTTGTCTATGAGATTTAACTGTCAAAACTCAAAAAAGTAAACAAAGTTTATAGTTCTAGTAATTCCTGAAGTTTACACAAAACTAATAAACTTTTATTCTTATTAGAATTAAAATTATTACTAATATTAAGTCGAAATGAAATTTCGTGCTGTAATGATAGATGCAGGGCCGATGCGAGAATTCTCAAGTACTAACCTAATATAAAAATTTAATTCACCTGTATACTCGACTTAAATCTGCTCCTAATAAAATATTTTTTAAATTTATAGATGTGGTTACCATAATATCGAAGTTATCTAAGGAATGTGTTTTGAGATTGGCAGATGATCAACTCTATTTTATTGTTAGTGAGGAGAATAGCGGCCCAACACCACCGATATTGTGGTGTGAGATTCCTCATGCTATGTTTTTCTCAGAATACCAAATGATTGGCATAGATGAAGAACATAAAGATATTTATTTGGGTCTAAGCTCAGGTAAAATAGTAATGAATCGTGTTTTTAAATGTTCTTTTATTTAATAAATAATCTATAAATCCAGGATCTATATGCTTGAAATGTTAATTTTTAAAGACACATCACATCATCAACAGCCTTAGTGGACTATTAGTCCACTGTTGGACATAGGCCTCTCCTCAGAAAAGAGGTTTTGGCCTACTATACCACGCTGGGCATACGGATTGGTATAGGGTTCACTTTGCAGTGCTGTTATCCTGCTTAATTTGCTCCCTTAGTCGGCTCTTACGACACCTAAGGGAGGAATAGGGGTGGTGACACTCCATATTCTTAATACGTCACCACACGTTTTTATTTATTTTTAAGTGCTTCACGTTACTAATGCCCACAATAGTAACTAAATAAAATAATACAAGTCTCCAGGAGTACAATACAAAAAAAAAATTGTGAGGAACACCTTAATTTGTTGAAATGGCATCAGAATGAATCAGCAAAGCAGCAAAACTTAAAAAAAAAACAAAAATGGGGACAATTTTTACACCATTTTGTCAGGGTTGCTATACAAAGTACTTCAGGAATTGATTTTATGAATTTTTCTTGTCAATTTTGTTCTTCATTTCTCACCAATGCAATTTCAATGTGACACAGAAAAACATGGAAAGGAAAGCTAATTATTTATATAGAAATTGGCAAGAAACAATAGGAACGGAGCTAACTGCTACGTTCCTATTATTTCTTTTACACAGTACAACAGGTATTTACTTAATTGTGAGCTCATTCATTCTCCTAATACATAATTATACATAGATACTGACTTTTAGTGATGTAATAAGAAAAATTAGAGCAGGCATGATAATGAGTTATTAATAAAAGCATAGTATCTGGATAATATGTGCATATACATTTATTTTATTTATTAATTATAAATGTACATTTAGAATAAAGTAAATAATAGATTTAAAAAAGTTGTTTTAAAATTTCAGGTAACTTAGCGAGATCATTAGTTACGTTAAAATCAGCCAAATCATTGAAAATGAAGCTTACCAAAAAGCAATGTCCATGCCTTACATTGGAAATAGAAATGGTAAGAATATTATTTTCTTTTAAGTCTAAGGCAAAAAAAGATGATTCCTTTTTTCTTTGTGTGGTTATTGTTATTTGTATTAATGTAAAAAAAATGTTTATTTGAACACATTAATGATTTACTTCTTATTCAAAGAGATCTATTCATTGTAAACTAAATATTCTTACAAAATAAAAAGAAAGTTTAAGTAACATGATTGATTGACATGATACATAAAATTGGTTTGAAGTTCCTTTAAATGTTTTTTTATGGTATGGGGGCCAAATGAACTGCTGAGTCACCTAATGGTAAATGACCACCACCACCCCTGGACACCTACTACTTGCCACACTGTGTGAGGGCAGGGGAGGGGTTGATCTATGGTAGCCTCACTCGTTACAAAGCAATGAAAAAATTGCTTGCACACGTTTTCTGTGAGGCTCTGATATCACTCCTATCAAGTTGGGCCTTATTTCTGCTATTCTAATATTGTAACAATAGACTGTCGATGGAATATCATCGGAATAGTTTTGCACTTTTCGTATTCTACAAACTATGTATGATAACTGGCCTCCCGATGACTTGTCACTGAACTACCACTGATACACATTTTGTGGATGTCTTTGTAATAATTTGGTAAAAATTTGTAATAAAATGATATATTTACCTTCAGCATTGGATTTAATAATTGTGATTGACATTGTATTTTTTCAAGATTTATATTGTAGTTTAGATAGTTTTGATTCACAGCCATCGGTAACTTCACAGCAAACAAGACATGTGACTCATGATATTCCCGTGACTGTAATACCAAGGAAGTTGTGGTCTGATTTTCATGAACCAAGGGTACCAGACCCTGACGTAAGTTACTTAAATTTAGTTTTCTCACTCTAATTACCTTGTTTATGGGTGTAATTTATCTATTATATGTTTTTATTCAGAAATATGTAAGTGGGACTAAAATTAAAGTTGCCTGAATTTGGATGGATTAAGGGGATAAATATGTATGCTTATGTATGTAAGGTACATACATATGCATACATATTTATCATAGGCAATTGTGTTACTCTCATCTTGGCATAGGATCAGGATCATGAATTGTTGTTAGTAATTTTTTTGTAAAAGAATTTGTGATATGGCATGTAGTAAGAGAATGTGTTCATAGTAAACACTATTACCTCTAAGTTTTGTTTTCAAACAGATATATTTTTTTAAAGGTTCAGAAAAAAAGTAGTTTTAATAAATGAAAGCATCAAGCACACCACATCAATGTCACATCCTATGTCAGAATTGACTGAGAGTCCTAGGAACCACATATTAATACTCTTATTAGTTATGGTAGGCTTATTGCCTACTCACATAAAACAGTTGTAAGTTAAAATTTATATTGTAATTGCTGTACTGATTAGTTGAACTTTCAGATATCCATAGAATTGCCATCTCTAAAACAGTTGAGAACCACAATAGATAGAATGAAAACAATGTCTTCGGAGGTAGTTATCAGGGCTTCAGCAGAAGGTAGACTCACATTACAAATCAAAACTGACATGGCTAAAGTGTCTACCAGATTCAGGGATTTAAGGGTTGAATCATTTGGAGGTATTGTCACAATCAATTATTAACTAATATAATTTTAAATAATAATTACTAGAACAAAATACAATACATGGATGTAGTGTATACACCTATTTATCTTTTATATGTGAAAATAGTAGGCCAACACCTTCTTTCTAAAGAGAGGCCTATGTCCAGCGGTGGACTGTTATAGACCTGGTGATGATGATAATTTGTGAAAAAATATACCTCACTATTGAACTATAAACATTCAAGAAATGGACGCCAAGACCACCTCGTCACTGCGCAACCCCCATCTGGTTGTCCCATCTAGGACTAAGGATGAGGCGACTATTTAGACTACATCAGTCAGGGGATTAATATTCCTCATGAGAATACCATCTTTATGATTTTAATGTATTAGTTAGTTTCTTTTGTTATATTGTCTAGTCTTATTTTGTATACAGTTAGGTGTTTGCCATTTTTCCCTTCAAAAAGTAAATAAGAACCCAATTATACTTCCCATTAACCCAATTAGACTTCTTGAGCTGTGTCTATAATAAAATCTTTATTTTTACAGGTCCAATAGACCATTCAGACTCGGAAACTGATTCTCAAGTCAACGAGGACATGTCTCGGATATGTTATTGTCGAGTCGACGCTAAAAAGTTATCGATGTTCCTTAGTGCTGATCAAATATCTAGCAACAGAACTTTATGTAGTATTGTTAATAAGAAACTAGTTATATTGTGCTTGCAGACTGATGAAAATGTTAAATTACAGTGTTTTATTAGTGGTATTGTGTATTAATGGATTGGCCAAATAGGAAGTTATCTTTTGAATGTAAAACCTATTGAGATGTTTGATTATATGGCCATTAGGAGTGATGAATATGTCAATTTGTGTTCATTAGAACCACCCGGCAATCGACCAGCAGTGCCTCGACGTTGGTCGGCTATCTGTGGACACTGGTTTTCCACGGTGGACGCCAGGGAACGTCGCGTGGTCAATGAGTGAATATCATTTATAATAAAATAAAAGCCTAATTCCAATTATTACACTAAATTGATCACTACTACTTCTATTAAATGTCATTTGAATTTGTTGTTCAATGAAGCCAACCAAAATTTATAACGTATTAATTTTTATTTTTTTGCTTTCCTTTCCCTTCAAAAACTAGTTAGTTCAAGCATGTTTACTTTATTACTATATTCCTTTATTTTCCATGGTTAGTGTGTTTTCTTCAAATCTGATTGGGACCAAAGAGGAAGTATATAAAAACCTCCGAAATTAAAAATAAATGTTTTTCAAAACGGTTCATAAATGATGGTGTTTCGATGTAATGTGAAAACATGCAAGCAAATTGCCTAACCTCTTTTTTTTAATCGTTTAAAAATATTAATTTTTTTTTTTTTTTAGTAGTTAGTAGTTTTTAGTAGTAGGGTAGTTCACAACGCACAGTTAACAATGGCAATGGTTAAATAAACAAAAGTATTATTAAAATCACTTTATTCTAACATTTTATACAAAGTTAACAAAACAATATTGTTGTAAGACTAAACAACTTTTCAGAGATATTCATTTTTTTAATGAAGTATTGTTGTTCTAAGTAATTAAATTGACTTTTTTATGTTAAGAGTTTACTTCAAGCATAAATTCATTAATTAACTTCAACAGAAATGTGCTATTTACCTAATACTAAATCATTTCACGAAAAATGGTGGGTCAAGAAAATCGTCCATCAGACATATTATTAATCGGTATTAAAGAATTTTAAGAAAAATGTCAAGTAAAGCATTTATCTCAAGGGTTCATCTTGAATAGAAGCTAATTAAATACAAGAAATAATGAGTTTAAAATTATTTTCATCATATTTTTTTAATACAATTTTCGCTTTCTGGCGGTCACATGGCGTAATAACCGGTCTGACCCTCCGCTTTAGATGTTTCAAATAAATAAAGGCATTAATGATGCTTAAAGCAAATATTATTAATATAGCAGCTTTCTGCACACAGCAGGGTGAGCTGAGGATGAGATGCAATCTTAATGAAAAAGTTGATGCTATAACTGAGAACATTACTGTGTTTACACTGTTTTATATTCTTCAGTAACATATTTCAACGTTATCACGAAGTACCACGTACTTTTTGACACTATTGAGAATTTCACTTTAAAATAAAAATATAATATTTGATCTGCCAACCACCATAGCTGTAGGATCAATAAATGGCTATCCATAAATTACGTCACACGTTAAGGAATGGCGGTCGATGAAAAGTGACAAGGGGGGCAGAGGGGTTTTGAGTTTCGTGAAGTCACATTTCAAAACCCAATATATCTAGATATTAAACACGAAATTCATGTTTTGTTATTTTTTTTTTAATTTTGGATTTGGCGTAATTTTATTAAAAAAATAATTGAATTTAAAACTATGTCGGTACTGCCTTTTTTATCATATTAATTTCTAGAAGTAAAATTGCAAGTTGTGACGTCACATTAAGGGGTTATGCTGAGCTCAGACAAAGACCGTGTGACATAATTTATGAATGGCCCCTTATTAGAGTTTAAATCTTTTATTAAAATTGGAAAAAGTGTAAAATTTTTGATTTCTATGGAGTTATTCAAAGTTGACGAAGCACTGCTTATTATTTGGGTTTAATTGTAGGTCAGCTGGAATGATCTTTCGTTGTCTCTGCGCAACGTGTCGTGGGTGGCCTTGAGCTGGTCCAGTTTGGTAGATATCTGCGCTATGGAGTTGTCTATCCACTGCATTGATGACATATGTGCGTTAAGGATACGCCCGATTTGAACTATCTGTAATAAACATATTGTTTTTGTATCTGTGTCACAGAGAATTCTTATTTTTAAATTATATCTGAAGGATAAAATATTTGGAAATAATCATATGACTATTATAACTTTTTAATAATCAATGTGTACCAAAAATACTTACAGGATCATTACTGTCCTGACTCCTGTTAGTCTCGTTGAGACACTCTATTACTTCTTTTAGATCTTCAGACATTTGCCTCAGTTGGGTGTCTAGATTTTCGGCCAGAGTATACCTTAAACGAAAATCAAAAATAAATATAATTCACTAAAGCAGCAATAGAAAAATATTTATCTGCATGTCTACTAAAAACAACTTAAATTTAACTAAGATGAAATTTCAAATTTTTTAAGGTATGTTTGCGTGATCTGATAAGGTATCTTTATGTGATTTGTTGCTTCCAAGAGTAGAACCATTTACTATTTTATATTGTACTGGTTTAGTATTTAGGCCACAGTGCGTTCAGAGTGCAAAATCCGACCGTATTTAATGAAATGCAATCTAGTTTCAAAATTAAATAATTTTATGGTATTGAATAAATTAATTATAATTAGGTATTGAATGAATAAATACCATAATTTTTTTTGATTGTAAATAAGCTCCGTCAAAAGTGAACAAAAACAACTTTTTTTTTAATGATACTAACGACGTCAATCGCTAGTGGGTGGACAGGACAAAAGAGTACTAGGCTTTTTTGTACAGATCATAGCACTCACATATGTTCTCTTTCTGGGTCTCTGAGTCTGTCCACTGGCTCCTCCTGAAGTTGCTTCTCCATTGGCGCCAGTAAGTCCTCCAGCTCCTTCTGCTGAGCTAGTACGAAGTCCAATTCGTGTTCCAAGCTTTGCTGCTCATTCTTCACTGTTTGTACTGCATCATTTAGTTCCACTATCTAATGAAAAAAAAAGAAAAACAGTACTTATTAGTTATTTTTAGACTTGCAACGAATAGTATATTCGGCAGTATACCGAATACCGAATATTCGGCGAGGCCCCTGACCGAATAGCCGAATATTAGGCAAAAGTATTCGGCTGGATTTTAGCGCCAAAAACTTGTACAGACGTGAATTAAATTATGTACCTGTTTTATGTACCAATGACTACTTAATAAATGATTATAAAAGAAATGAGAACCTTACCCTTCTAAATTTTGATTACCACAATAATTCAAATACATAGAATCCTCCATTTTTCCAATTCAGAAGATGATTATGTACCTGTGTTTTGCACCAATGACTACTTAAATGATTATAACAGAAATGAAAATATGAATATATACGTAATCAATCGATTTTAATTTTTCATTTTACCAATTATTTCTCAATGACAAAATATATTATTTAAGTATTCGGTATTCGGCCGAATAATATGTAGATATTCGGTATTCGGCCGAATATAATAAAAGCAGCCGAATATGCCGAATACCGAATAGTAACCGAATATTCGTTGCAAGTCTAGTTATTTTATTTGAAAAAAGGAAAAAGAAAACTGTTAGCTTTAACAGGAATTAAAATGTTTGGTTTATTATGAACAGTTTAGTATAAATCTAATGTTTTTAGGAAAATATTTTTTTTACAGCATTCATTTAAACCAAAACGTATACAACACTTGTTTTAATAATCAACTCCACCCAATCAGGAAACCCACATGAATGATCAACGCAAGTAGGATGTATTAAGTTTTAGCATAAATAAGTTTTTTTTAAATTCTATTTCTCTTCGGCTCCAGCTCCTCAACATGATTAACAGAAACTCCTAGCAACCCGTCTGACTAGCGTGGTATAGTAGCCCAAAACCTCCTTTCTAAGGAGAGGCCTATCTCTAACCAGTGGACTACTAAAGACTGCTGATGATTATATTAGTTACCTTCTCTCCATTAGAAATGAGTAGCCTATCCCACGCGTTGATCTGAGTTGCTTGATTGATGAATGTCTTCTCTTGTTCTTCCAATTCTAAAGTCCACTTGTTTATATTCTCCTCGAGCTGTGCGAATGTGATGGAAGTTATATTTTGGGGGGGCGCTGCGGTAGTTGTTCTGAAAATCGCCATTTAAAATGTAAAAAAACAACAAAACCATTGTTTGTTTTATAGAAAAAGACAACTATAGGAAACAACACAAAGAACACCCAGACTCATAACAACTATTTTTGAATCACACAGTGTTGTTCCATGTGTTCCATGAGTGGATCGAACTCACAACAATCAGCGAAGTAGTGACCGCTTAAACCACTACGCCGTACTAACCCGCCTGTCCAACGTGGTGTAGTAGGCAAAACCTCATTTCTAAAGAGGGGCCTATGTAAAGCAGTGGACTCTAAAGGCTGTTGATGATGATGATGAGAGCTCGGACTTCTTGGCAACAGCCAGCTCGAGTCAAAATGTATGAAATCCTGATCTACTTGAGCTATTACTTACATTCCCCACTTTTCTTTCATATAATTCGCAATCTTTTCCGTATAATCTCTATACCGGTTTCTTCCGGTTGAAGGCAAACTGTTTGCGTTAATACCTCTCTGCTCACCCCTCGGTATAGGCTGAGTATTTATCTATTTTTAAGGTATTTCAGGTAGTAGAGGAGGCGAAATATACTCACGTTGTAGCTGTAGTTAATGAGGCCATAGTGGTAGTAGTTTTACCAAGAGCCGTGATACCAGACGGTGCTGCTGTTGACGCTGTAATAAAACGTTTTTTTTACATATGACTATACATTTTGTACATATACTGTAGGGACTAAGTTGAAAAGATCTCAGTGCTACACACACAATAGTCTTTTAAAAAAAAACGAATACAGATGTTTTTTAAATATAATCATAATGTATCTATGTATAATTTAAATTTTAAAAACAACTCGAGACTATGGTTGGTTTGAAATTCTTATTTAAAAAACGACACGGTCCCTAAATCAAGCTGTCATTTTGTACGCATCTGTCGTTTATTTGATCGGTTTATCAAAGACAAAATTTAGTTAGTTTTACGATTTAATAGCAATATCAAAGTTTAAATGTTGATATCACGTACGTCGGTTGATTCCGCAAAAGAAATCCATATTTTTAAACGTTTAAATGTAAATTTAACTATTTATTAATTTTAAAACAAAAATTGTGACACTTATAATTCAGAATTTAAAGAAAAGAAAAAATTGTGCAAAATAATTCTAAAATATTTTGAATGTCGTCAATTCAATTCTATTTTTGAAAAAATCTGATTGTCACTAACATGATTATTTTCCACCAAGACAGGGAATGGGTATGAGTTTACTTATTACATGATTAAAAAGAAAACTTTTTCTGTTCTCATTTTTAGGTGTATACTTTAAATTAAAATATATTTATATTTAAAATTATTAAAATATTTAATCAATCCCACTGAAAACTGTGTAGTGTGAACAAGTTAAATTTCGAGCAAGTGCTCCTTGAAATCGCATCTTCCACCACCTAAATCGAATATGTCTCATAGTGAAATTTTGAGTATTACATTTACCTGTAGAAGTGGCTGATGTGGAGGTCGGTTTGATACCAAAGCCAATCGCGGATGCTGTACTAGTGCCAGTGAATCCGAACCCACCACTCGTCGCAACAGCCGAAGTCGTTGTTGCACCAAAGCCAAGCCCAGTACTAGCTTGAGTGGTTGTCGCTGTACTAAAACTGAGACCAGTTGTTGCAGCAGTAGTACCAAAACTGAGGCCAGGGGCAGAACTAGGTTGAGATGTCGTTGTTGTGCCAAAACTAAGGCCAGTTGTTGATTGTGGTTTAGTTGTTGTACCGAAATTAAGGCCAGTTGTTGGCTGCGATGTAGTTGTTGTGCCAAAATTAAGGCCAGTTGTTGGTTGGGGTGTAGTTGTTGTGCCAAAGTTAAGGCCAGTTGTTGGTTGCGGTGTAGTTGTTGTACCAAAACTGAGACCCGTTGTTGGTTGAGCTGAAGTTGTTACTCCAAAACTAGGTGTGCTTGTTGCCAAATTTAGTCCGGTGGCCGCTGTGGTGGTCCCGAAACTAAGGCCTGTAGAAGGTGGATTCGTAGTCGGCACAGTACTAGTTGTTAAGCCGAAAGATAATCCTTGAGTAGAAGTGGCTGGAGTCGTACCGAAATTAAGCCCTGTTGTGGGTTGAGCGGACGATGTTGTAGTGCCAAAACTTGGTAGCAAACCCGTTGGTTGGGAAGTTGTTATGCCGAAACCACCTAATCCAGTAGAAGCTGAAAGGAAATTGGACTTTTAAATACCAAAATATATTTCCTATCCTTTTAAAACTTATTTAATATTCAACATTGACTGTGTTACGACGAAGTAATGATACACACATACATACAGTTTGAAATATTAATAATATTCTGACTACACCAGCTTAATTATTGCAACTGATTCTGGTGGTTGAAATTAGTATGTGGTTAACCTTTTATGCCTAAAATCGACCATATCTGCAACAAACATAGGTCACAAATAGTTTCTTAAAAGCAAATCAGGAATAAATTGTTTACCTGCAGCTGTAGTAGCTGGAATATTAAAACCAAGCGAAGATGTACCCTGAAAACCCGATCCGATCGCAGTATTCTGTCCGAAACTTAGTCCTGTAGACGTTGTCTGCTGTTGTGCTTGTTGCTGTTGTTGTTGCTGTGTCTGTTGCTGTTGTTGTTGCTGTGTCTGCTGTTGTTGCGTCTGTTGTTGTTGTTGTTGTGACTGTTGACCAGGTAGAGCGAAACCTGATGACGGTGTCATTGCTAGAACAAGAAATAGTGCAGCGCTGAAGCAACAACACCTTTTTTAGGGTTCCGAAAAGGTAAAAAAGGAACCCTTGTAAGATCACTTTCTTGTCCGTCTTACGTACCTTAATTTTCAACTTTTTTATTTTTCAGAATTTTCTCTTTACTTGTGCTGTAAGACCTTGCTTTTAACCAAAATTGTAAATTTTAGGTCAAACGGAAGTACCCTATAGGTTTTGGGTCGAAAACCTATATGATAGTTCCCGTTGACCTAGAATCACGTTTGGCAAAAAGAAACGTCTTACAGCACAAATTAAGGTATAATTCCAAAAAATAAATAAAGTTGAAAACTTTTGGTACTTACTATGAAATAAATGTTATGTTATGTTACAAATTTTCGCGAAAATCTACGTAAAATCTGGGTAGTAACCCTCGGCGCACGCGTTCGACTCGTTCCTGACCGGTTTTTCTTATATGCATAATACTAATACTCGCAATATCTTTTTGTTTATTGATTTGTGTTTGCAAATGTGATTTTAATTTCCAAATTTATTTATTCATATTTTTATGGTATTGGATATGAATTTGGACTAAGATGTGTGCTTACATAAATATCGGTCACGTAAGTGGGTGTCAAAAATGTTATAAGATTGTTTATCTACCTGTATTGGCGAAGCTGAAGGAGGAAGCAGGCTTGGCACCGAAGCTGGAAGCTGCACCGGAGCCAAGGAAACTGGGTTGTGTTGTTAAAGCTGTTGAAGTTGTAGTCTGCAATGTTTAAGGAAATAATATATATTTTATGATATTTCTCTAGTAGATATACATACTTATGTCACCAATAGAAAGGAAAATGAATTTAGGAACACTATTCTATAATTATTGACGGGCCTGTTGGTTTAGTGGTTAGTGACCCTGACTGCTAAACCGGCGGTCGTGGGTTCAATTCCCACTCAGGACAAATATAGTGTGATGAGCACGCTCATTTGTTCTCTTTGGGTGTAGTTTTCATAAGTAGGTTTTCAGCTGTCCCCACAGTACAGGCTCTGGTTAGTTTGGGATCAGACGGCCGTGTGAGAGATGTGTAAGATACATTTATTATTATTTCTTTATTATTCAGCTCTGTTTTTCTTTTGGATATTTCTACTATTAGTTTTAGTTAGAGTCGACTAGTATATGACATTAAATATCGATTGCTACGAATTATGTACATAAATGACTGGATCAGAAAAGATGTATCAAAATAATCAATAAATGTCCAATTAAATACCAGAGGCATTCTGATTCCACCTAGAGTGATTACATGCTGAGGGCTCAGTAAGAGTTTATTTCATATCAATCCGATCGTCACGGTGACCGCGTTTGGCGTTGCGATTGATCCGCTCTAAACCCTTCACCAATCGCATCGCCGAACGCGATCGCCGGCAAGTTGATGTAAAAAAACATACTAGGCGCTCTGCTCAACATTACGACTTACTGTGGCTGGTTGCGCGGAGAATCCAGATGCAGGTGTCGTGAGGCCGAAACCTGTTGAAAGAGAGCCTTGCGGTTTATTGAGGGCAAAGCTTCCACCACTAGGTGAAGCGCCAAAACTAGGTGGTGCTCCAGCTAAAAAACATAAAAGCATGATTATATTTTCTGTTAATTAACAGGCCTGTTGGATTAGTGATTGGTAAACCTGAATGCTAAGCCAGAGGTCGTGGTTTCGATTGCCACCGGGGACAAATAACTGTCTTATGAGTTCTATTTTTTGTTCTGTGTGTGTGTGTGTGGGTCGAATTTATCTATAATGTGTACGTATTTAGAAATTATATAAGCATGTTGGCTCATCGGATGTGGCAACGCAGCAGTTATTGCACGACGGAAACTCACCACCGACGTCGACTACGGCACGACCCGCCGTCGGATCAAAATTTATTATAATTAATTTAGATCATGTTATGTACATTACATTAAATAAATAAAGTAATTTAAGTAAACTTGTTCGAAGTCAGAATATGTAGTCTTCGAACAAGTTTCACTTAAATTAGTTTGCATTCTCTTTTCTTTTCATTAAAGAACAATGGCGGGTCTCCATACAAAAAAAAATATATGGAATCAAATTGCATCGTCTTGCAGTGGAAAAATATCAAAAAAATCGGCATTTTGTTTTAGAATCTATGTGTAAAACAATTTTTGTTTGGGAAATGCTAGAAAAAAATATTTTAGAATTTGATTTTTTTAAGTTACGCACTGCATTTTTATCTGTGGAGTGTTAAAAGAGTCTTTTATAACATAGCTGTATAAAGTTACCTTTATTTTATCTACAGCTATCGACTTTTCAAATTGGTGTTTGTATTTTTTACATAATTATTTGATAATTATAACTATATATGTATGTGCCATTTAAATTAAATAAATAAGATAATAAAGAATTGTCATAGTCCATTAGCTGTAGACATTTTAAGACGCTTAAATGACACTCGATTCGCCATTGTTCTTTATTTTAAGTAAATTTACTACCGAGTATTGTATTGTAACTTATATATTTTTCTATTTCCTTGCTTATTGAATATGATACAATAAATATGTTTTCTTTAGATCTTAGATGTTTTTGATAAGTTAATGTAATATGCATAAGTAATGAAAACAGTAGATCTTTACCCTTTTTTGTTGATATCTACGTGTGTGAAATTGTTACCTAATTCTTCTTTTTTTTTAAAAAAGACAACTCCCGCATTAGATATATATCCTGTGTCGCGGGGGACTTTACAAACATACATGAAACGGACACAAAGAACACCCAGACTCAGAACAACAATTTGTGGATCACACAAAGTGTCGTCCCATGTGGGGTTTGAACCCACAACACTCGGCACAGTAGGAAGCGGCATGGCAACCGCTTAAACCACTGCGCCATCCTCTAATATTACTCATTACTCTAATATTACTCCTTACAAGGAAGGATCCTCCAAGCAGACTAGTTATCATGCCTGGTAACCCCCATTCCAAAGAGATTGAGATTTTTTATTCTCTGTACAAAAGTAATATGTTATCGGAGTGAGAACAGTCATTGCGCGATACAGGATCGATAAGTTAGACAGCGCTGAAGAATGTTATTCTATCGTTTTACAATAGAAAAACATGCACTCAGCGAAATCATTATGATTATACTTAATATTAATTAAATTGAGGGCATTTTTGCTGACCTTGGTTGGCTGGACTGCTGAATGGTGCAGGTTGTTGTGGTGTACTTCCGAATGATAGATTCTGTGCCACATTCTGAAAAGAAAGTTTTTTATTAATAAACATTTTACAAGAAAAAAAAAACAGTGGCACTCCGGGAGTGGCAACAGAAGTGATAACTTGAAAAAAAATTTTTTCTTCGATTCGAAAAGTTCTGCCATGAATATATATCTATGTTGTACGCATATACACAATATATATATTTATTATATACAGTTATCAATGTATTTTACCCCAAACTCATGCTTGATATATGATGCTTATAAACTGAGGTGTCGGTTACAGTAACAGGGCCGCCAGTTCAATGGTTTTTTCCATCTTAAAAAATTTATGTTTTGTTTAACCATAAAATACATTATTTTGTTTGTTGTTAAAAAATGCCGAACGCGCCTAAAGAAGTTAGCACTTCAATAACCAATCATGGCAGTTATAACGAAAGTTTGATAAGCTATCTAATACATAAAATATCAATGAGTCTGTACATTGGTATTTATTCCTGCGTTTATCAACACTTGCAATGGATGGCACCTGATGGCAATGACACTTGTAATTTGTAGCGAAGATTTAATATTTTGGAAAGTATTTATATTTCCAAGTAAATCTAATTTTAAAATATAAAATCAAAAAACAAAATATTAAATCTAATTATATTATAGAATAGCTGGTACCCGCGACTTCGGTTGCGTGGAATTTGAATTGAAAATGTTTGTTCAAATTGTAATATTATCATTGTGTAATTTAGAATAATGTAAATTCACAATGCAAATGAGCTTGTTTATTATGCTATTACACTTCAGAAAATAGGTTTGAAAATAATAATATAAAATACATACTTGTCCAGCGGTTTGTCCAAAGCCGGGAGCGCCTACAGTCTGGTTAGGCGGTGACGAGAAGGCACCAAAGGTTGCTGGTTTATTTGCTCCAAAAGCTGACACTGTGCTTGTTGTCGGAGTTGAAACTGTAGACAATAGCAAAATAATGACTTGTTGTAATCATTCCATTTGATTTCTTTTGCCAACTACTATCACAAGTACAAGACAATAATATTTTCTGACATCTAACACACCACTCCATCTAGTTTCAAACTAAGCAGAGCTTGTACTATGAAAGCTAGATTGACTGATAGAATACTTATATACTTTTTTTTTGTAAATACATACATATAATACATAAAAATCAATGAAACAAATATTTGCAGATCATACAAACATTTGGTCTGACCTGGAAACGATCCCGAGACCTCATCATAGCAGTCGCATATGCTACTACTGCACCACCGAGTAGTAGTAGTAGTAATAGTTATTGACCATTGGGATACAGACATATGCATGACAAAAGGAGTCAGTGGTCATAAGGAAAAGTATAAAAAAGTAATAGTTACTAGTCATAAGAATACAGGTATATAAGTAGTTAGTCATTAATTACAGGTGTGTCCACGAGTGTCTGTTCAAAAAAAAGTGTGTGTCAACTTAGGAGTTTACTCCTTAAGAACCATTTGGCTGCACATAAGTAGACAAGTTATACACACACATTACTAAAAAAAAAAAAATACAGTCGAATTGAGAACCTCCTCCTTTTTTGAAGTCGGTTAAAAAGTGAAAGGTGTGCACGATAGGTAGCGATCAAAAAAACGTAATGAGGTCATTCAATCACTAAATTTTACTCTTCATATTTTTTCATACCCGGAGCCTTATATGAAAATCGATACATAAGGAGTAAACTCCAAAAAAGTTCTCTATATATTATATCTTCTAAATGAGTGAATGAGTAAATTATCTGTTTAAAATAGTAGTTGACAAATTGTATCTTATATTGAAGCAGTGTTGTTAATTTGGTCCTGAAAGTTTTAGTCATAATGATAAACAAGCTAGCACATAGTTTTGTGATATTTAGAGGTAGTTGTAAGTTTCACATCAAAGCAAATCAGCAGATGAAAAACAGGATTGAGACTGCAGAAGTTCGAAGAGGTGGGATAGAAAAACACCCATATGTCATATATTGAAGAGGCCAGGAACATCAACTAGTCATAATCCATACTTATATTAAATGTGAAAGTGAGTTTGTTTGTTTGTTTATTACACTTTCACTTTTCAGATTTAAAAAATTCTTTCACAAATGGAGAGTTATATTATCAGCAGGTAACATGGGCTACTTTTTACTGTGATGACTGACATACAAGTGGGAGGAGCCGGGGTCAACAACTGATAATAATATAATTAGGTTTGGGTATAATTGATTTAGGTAGCTCTGTTGGGAGTTATATTTTTTTTGTGTAAAACTTACACAGGGAAGATGTAGCAGCAGTTGTTTTAGCACCACCAAAGGCAAATGTACTACCGCTTGGACTTGAAAAGTTAAATGCTGGTTTATTTTCGGGAGCTGAAACATGTAATAAATTGTTTTCTATATAGCTAAGCCTTTACTTAACTACTAAGATCACCATTAATAGCCAATATATATTTTTTAATCATTGTTTAGCACTTATTTAATCCATACTAATATTATACATGCAAATGTGTCTGTCTGTCTGTTACCTCTTCACGTTTAAACCGCTTCACTAATTTGGATGAATAAGTAAAGAGATAGTTTGAGTCCCGGGAAAGGACATAGGATAGTTTTCATCCCAGAAATCATGCTTTAAGGGGGTAAAAAGGGGGGTGCAAGTTTGTATGGGGAATCAAAACCGCTGAACCGATTTAGATGAAATTTGGTATGGAGGTAGTTTGAGTTGTGGGAAAGGACAAAGGCAACTTTTTACTATGATAACCGACACACACGCGGGCGGAGCCGACGGCAAAAGCTAGTTGTGTATAGGACTTAAGAATGATCTATAATGAAGTTAGGATGATTCATATTCTGGTAAAAGAAATCATTTCATCATAAGTCACAGAAAGAAACTCTATTTTGCATGTGGTTGTATGCCTATTAGCACAATAAATTTTTGTTTGAAAATGTATAGCCACACCAACAAACATACATTAACAGAATTTTATTTATTGTCCATCTATTCTTCCACCCCTATTCATCCCGTGGGTGTCGTAAGAGCCAACTAAGGGAGCAAACTACGTAGGACAACAGCACTGCAAAGAGAAGGAAAACTACACATTCTATACCAACCCGTCTGGCCAGGGTTGTCCAGTTAGCCAAAACCTCCTTTCTAAAGAGAGGTTTATGTCCAGGAGTGGAACTAAAGGCGGTTGATGTGTGATGTGACTCTATCAAAGTACATAAGTATTTATTATAATTACCTGCATTGTTGGTTCCAAATAAAGATGGCTTATTTGTATCACCACTGCCAAAAGAAAATCCTGAAATTAAATTTATGCAACATTAAAATGAATTTAGTAATTATTACTTGCTCCATTATTGTAAACGTCGTGTATATATTTTGGAGAGGTCAAGTAACATAGATGGGATTAGTAGTGTACTGTAAAGAAGTAAATTTACCAATTTTTAGAAGAAAAATAGGTGAGCGGTTTGACAATGTTTTGTGAAATTTTAAGGTTAAGTTGGCGTCATTTTCCGCAGTGATATTAATTGAATAAAAATTTAAATATAAAATGATTGTATATAGGTACATAAAAAAAAAATGCACTGAGAATAATACTGTATCAAATATTTACCGGTAGACGGTGTAGTGGTACCGAACGTACTCGTCGACGTTGTAGTAGCAGTATTGAAACTAAAACTCATATTGTTCTTTAATAAAATTGCAAAAAATCTTAAATAAAATGATTCACTTAATAAATTATATCGTTATAAGTAATATTTTATTGTAAATTGACTCTTTCTGTTAGAACAACAAAAAGTCAACAATCACTACCCGCCATGCCGTTTGTATACAGATTAGTGTTGTTCCGTAGCTATAGTCAATCGATAGTATTATTCAAAGTCTACTCTCGAATTCTAGAAAATACATTGTAGCTTGAAAATTATCATTCTTAGGCTAACCGCATACACAATGATATTGCCAATGCAACAATGGCAAAATTTTTTTTCAATATATGGCCCCACTACTGCATAATATTATTGTGATTTTTTTTTGTATAACGCACGTACGTAGTTAAAAGTAAGTTCAAAGAAAAAAGTGTTTGCATTCATTTTATTGACTGGATGAGATGAAAGCAGAGTTACATCATTTTAATTAATTGTCAAGTATGTTTTTTAATTGAAATAAATTTTCAGTCTCTACTAAATTATCTACAGTGAGAGTATATAATTACAAACGTACTAAAATATAATACAATGCTTTGTAGTAAATTAACTAATTGTTCATCATTTCATACAAAACATTTCCCTAATTCATTTCAAAAAATTATCGTAGGATATCTATTTTTTTCTTTAAATCCATAGACATTGTTTTTATGTTTTATTTTTACACACGATCACCACCGAAACTCCTGTAAACCAGGATCAAAAGCAGTGACTCACTAAAACACCGTTATGTCACTCGGGAAGCCACAGGCATAATTATACAGGAATCCATAACAAAATTAATCAGAAGAAAATTGGCAATATAATAAATCCACTTTCCTTCTTAGCAAAGCGAGCGACAAAATGAAGTAAAAATAGCCATAAGTACACACTTTTAAACAGGGAAGCATGAGCATGCAGTAAGCTATATTTGATTTCTATATTAACACATATTGGTTTGTCGTAGGAGCACTAATATCAACTAGTGATGTGCATTGTGTGATATCCAAGGGAGATGAGAGATCCGTAACCGTATCCGTATCCGTGACTTTTTTGTCGGATCTTTCAATACATATTACATAGATGAAATTCTATATAGGCGATTTTTGTAAAACTCTTAGGTATGTGTTTGTAACACTATAAACAGCAATTTTTTTTTCTGACCAACGTCAAAATAAAAAAAAAATTGGTCCTCCATTCAAATGTTGTTAGTTTGTATGGAGAAACAATTTTTTTCTTTCGATTTCGGTGTTAGTCCAGAAGAAAAGTTGTTGTTTATAATGTTACTAATATGCACTTCAGAGGTTTTCAGTAAATTTAAAATAACCCTGAATAATAGTTATTAGGTAGCTATGAAAAACTATTGAATTCTGTTCAGATTACTTTTTATTTCTTAAAACAAATTTTGGCACCTTTGTATTGCAATCATTTATCGTACTACACTAAATCAACTAGGCAGGTCGTAGGTACTGAAAGAGCTATCTTTATAATGAGATCAATCAAACATCTTTGCATTAGCTTATTAAAATAATGAAATATTTAAATATCAACGGCAAAGCGTCAAGTGGCGACAACTATCAAGGCAAAGCAAAATCCACAACAAATTGGCATTAATTAATGGCTATAACTGTAACTGAGCTGTTTGGGATTATCCTTAACCTAACTTTGACATATTTTTTACTAACATGGGAATGAGTTAACCTTGACGGCTTTGCTGCTAGATTATGTAGAGCTAAAGAGAATCATATCTTATGGGAGAAAAGTAAAAAAAGTGTCCAACTTTATGCTGTAATTAAAATTCAAAAACCGTCAGAATGGCGTTGGTGTAGACTAAAAGTATGATATGAATGTAACAGTTGTAGACGAATTGCAGTTGCCGACTATGGATTGTATATAGTAAATAGAGATGTGACGGTCTGGAATATTGTGAAATCGAGTTGAATCGGTTTGAAAATTGGTGCAAATCGGTTCCAGACCGAACCGTTGAAATTGCAGTAAGCCACGGTTTGAACCGTATGATGAGTTGACCAGCGAATGTAACGTACGAAAGTGATATGCAACATGATGCGATAGGATCGGACTACAGTTTGTCAACGGTTGGCAATAAAACAAAAGCGTAAAACTTTACATTACCTATACTAACCGACGACCGACGCAGCGACGGTATGAATTGATTGATAGTTAGTTGAGAGCTAAGGCCAATACAACAAACTATTCAGTCAAGTAACACGATTACTAAGCCTTCTTTTTGTCTCCTTTGGTGGATATAAGAAAAATATCGGTTCATGTATTAAATTATTATTAAACTGACGACGGGCGCTAACCGATTTTGTAGTTTTAGAATATTATGTAGTATAAACGTTTATGTACTTATATTTTTCTGAATGTACACAATTATGCATTACCCATAACTACACTTCTTAATTATTTGCTTTGGGTGGGAATCAAACCCACGACCTCTGGCTTAGCAGTCAAGGTAGTTGACCACTAGACTACACTAATAAACCAGTCAGCATTGCAAAATATATGTCCTTAAAAGTCTAGTAACTTCAGAAAAAAAACCGGTCAGGTACGAGTCGAACTCGTGCGCCGAGGATTCCGTACCTACCCAGATTTCACGTAGATTTTCGCGAAAATTTGCAAGTACCAAAATTTATCTTAATTTTCATTTTTTTTTTTGGAATTATTCCTTTATTTGTGCTGTAAGATGTTTCTTTTTGCCAAATTTCGTGATTCTAGGTCAACGGGAACTACCATACCACTTTTAAGGCTTAAATTATTAATATAAATAATCTAAGTTTTAAGGCATAGGTAATAACTTAAGTCATTTGCATTAAGATGCTTCTATGATTGTCCTATAGTACCTAAGGTAACTTGTATTGCAGCTTTATAAAGAATCGATCATCTATTTCTTAATATGAAAGATACGAGGCATGCCTTTTAATTTTTGTCGTTTGAAGAAAAAAAACACAACTAGAACCTTATAGTACTTTTTATTATTTTTCAAAGTATTCACCACGTAGCTTAATACACTTTTCCATTCGCTCAAACCATTATTCAACATTTATTCCACTCTAAAGTGTGGGTGTTCAAAATGGCTGACTTGAAAGCGTCGACTGCTTCTTCACCGGACTGGAACTTTTGACCACGAAGACTTTTCTTAATTTTAGGAAATGTAAAGAAATAGTTAGGGCTTAGGTCAGGACTCTATGGAGGATGGTCAAGAATTTCTACTTTTTCCTGCTTAAAATACTCAATCGTTTGACGACTCTGTGTGAGCTTGCGTTGTCGTGGTGTAGGATGACGTTCGCGTTGAGTTAGATTTTCGAAGTTCTGCGATGACTTTTGGTAAACAAACTGTGGTATACCACTCTGTGTTAACCGTTCTACGATCTTCAAGTGCAATAGTCGCAACATGGACGGTTTTTTAAACGAACGTGGCCACCATCTTCTTTGAAGTGCTTCGAGAACGAACAACTTTAGTCGGCTTTGGCTCGTCTTGAAAGACCCAGATTGTAGATTGTTGTTTGGAATCAGGATCGTAGGCATAGATCCAAGATTCGTCACTACTGATGATGTCGTAGACGTGATTTGACTCTTCTCGGTTGAACCTTTGCAGAGTTTTCTTACACCATCTGAGGCGGGCCGCCTTGTGATCATCGGAACAGAGTTGTGGAGAACAGTTCCAAAATTGCCGGGAAATATGGAAACGACAGAACTTAAAAGGCATGCCTAGTACATGTTTAAAACACCAGAAAGTAACCTACGCATTGTAAGACCCCATCGTTATATTCTGTACCTACACACACACACACACACACACACTAACACACACTTTTATACACTAATTTAGTTCAGATCTACAATTGTTTCATTTAATTCTTGGCCAATGACTCATCGTGACGTGGTAGTTGAGTGTGTAGTTGAATATGTTTATTATACTACGCCTCCTGATAACATTACACATAAAGGAAATACTGTGTTGATAAAAAAGAGATAAAATATTCAAATAAGTTACATATTCCTCTTTGGGCTAGCGAGATATAAGAATGGAGATATTAAATTCGTTTCATCTGTCTGAAGTCTGAAATAGTTTATTTTAAACGGATAGAAGCCACTACCTACCTAATAAAAAAACTGTAATCCTGTTAGGGCTTAACTGTAACTGTAAGGATGAACTATGTCTATTGTATGCTAAGTCCTTTAAATCTAGACACAGCTTATTGGTACCTTCCCATTACAATAATAGCAACAGATCAGGCAAGGCAAAGTAAGTCGATATTCTCCAACGTAAAGACTGCCTACCAGCAGTGCTATTCTCTAAGGAAACAGCCTTGCGTACGGTTTTTTTTACGTGGGGAAACCCCCTCGGGCCATCACCCCACCGGAGTTTGCGGCGGGGTGGTGTGTTGAAATCGGACCGACTAAAACCACACGGTGTTCCACTCTGCGCCTGTTCGGGAACTGCTAATATTAAGACATACGGACCCCTACCAGCGCCTGGCGTGGGCAGCATTCTCGCAGCTGGCCGTTAAACGAACTTAGTTTGAAACTCGACGATGTGACAGCGCTGTAGCGTCGAATTTCAAACGAACTTAGTTTGAAGTTCGACGCTGTGGTAGCGCTGTACGCAATGCTGTTTCCTTAGATTATAGCACTGCAGGTTCTCCTACGCAGGCTCTACCGTGCTATCTCGCACGAAATGCAACTTCAGTTCTAGTAAAGATAAGTGTTCACCAGATTGTCGAGGCTAGTATATGTACCTAGTCCAATATTACTAATAAATCTGAGCCTATGGTAGCCAGACTACTGGTTGAAACTTTGTTGTTGGTATGGAACTAAAATAAAATAAAATTCTAAATATGAAAACACATTACCTATTACAGATGAATTATACCAGACACAACAAATAAATGATCGAGCTCATCACACAAATATCCGTCCTTAGCGGGATTCGAACCAACGATCTCTGGTTTAGTAGTTCTTTGTCGTGTGAGAGTCAAGCTTCGTCACAAATGCGCAGGCTTGTTCGGAGTTAATTAGCAATTAATTAGTTGCTTTTCGCCAAATCCCCTCGAAGGGCGGCAATGAACGGTGTCTCAGGTTGTGAAGTCACTGGTATACATGAGCGGCGGTAGTAACTTACCATTAGGTTAATCGTCTGGTTGTTTGCCCATACTCCCTTCCCCCCCTCCCCTTACACCAAAAAATAACACTCAAATCACTAACCACTAGATCAGCAGGCCTGTCGACAGTCTTTAGGGCAAAATATAAACTTATGGGACACTAGCTTTTGCTCGCAGCTCCGACTGCGTTTATGTCGGTTATCGCGTTAAATAGTAGCCTATGACCTTCCTAGAAAATCAAACTATCTCCATCCATACCAAATTTCATAAAAATCGGTTCAGCGGTTATTGATTTCCCTTAAATGATGTTTGCCGGGATAAAAACTATCCTATGTCCTTTCCCGGGATTTAAGCTGTCTTTATATCAAATTTTATCTAAATCGGTTCAGTGGTTTATGCGTGGAGTAACAGACAGACACACTTTCGCATTTATAATATTAGTATGAATTCAAGCTTATCTATTTATCCATACTTATGTCTTTGTTTGTTTGTAGAGCTTTCAGCCTGAACCACTACTGATTTTAAAAATTCTTTCACTATTGTAAAGCTACATTATCAGCAACAAACCTCCTCCTTAGCAATTAAAAGCTGTTGATGATTTTCAGCAAATATCATGGGCTATTTTTTAATACGGCGGAGCCGCCTGCAAAAGGTAGTCTAAAATAAAAACAAATTATTTTTTACCATCAGTTATTTTAATCACCAGAAAAGGTAACATATATTTAAAACAAAGTTGCTTTTAATTACTTATGAGTATAACAAATTGAAAAAATGAAATGTAATGGAAATTTATGTTGTTATGTTTGTTCTTCTACTAAGACTTTATCATTCTTCTCCACTTCAATGACAACTCCTTCATTATTAAAGTGAGACTTTTTAGTAGCATGCAAAAAATTCAATATTTTTGCATACACAGTTGTTCTCATGCAAGGTTGAATATACTGTAATTCATCTTGAAGGAGCTCCGAGAAATGCTGATTCCGAGTGTCTTTACTTTTTTTGTTGCAATATCTATCACATTCTGGACATGTAGTCTTTGATGCTGGTTCATTTTCTGACTTCTCTTTTCCTGCTTCCACTTTTGGAGATTGAACTTCTAAAAACAAAAAAAAAACTTAATAATTGTAATATATACAGACTATCCAACTCTCTAATTTTCTTCTGATTCATTTCATTGTGGTTTAATAGTTCAATTTTTCCTGGGACTGTCCGAGTGTCATAACTCGGTGTGTTGATCCTGGTGTTCAGGAGTAAGAGTGGTATGTGGGAGGTATTAGTCCCATAAAAAAGACACAGACTATTCAAGTCAAATGCTCTGTATTAGTTTGCTTGATAGCTAACTTACAAAATTATTTTCCTAAATAATACAGATGGAAAAGGAAAAAGGAGTTCTTTCCAATTGTAAAGTTTAGGTTATCATATTGTGTTAACAGGTTGTCTACAAGGGTCCATGATGAAAATACTATGTAGAATGAACACTCATGTATTAAAATGGGATAGTTTAAGAAGAACACAAGACAATAAGTGAACAAAATTGATAAAATTAACATAAAAATATAAAACATTAACAAAAGTAAAATAAAAGTAAAATATACACCACAAGTTTATAAGGACATGATCATCATGTTTATCTGGAAGTCAAAGAACTTAAAAAATAAAACTTTATGATTTTGTATCACTTGTGCTTTCCCAGATTTATTATTTAATTACAACATTGTTAATTTTTAACTTTTTTAAGTTGTACTTTTCTGTAATAATAAATTTCTTATATGTATAGCAGTCTACTCACATTTATTTGTTATTAAGTTTGCAAATTGAGTAGATAATGCAAAATTATAAACAGGATTATGAAGTTTACATGTGATTTTTATATTTACCTGAATTGGTGAAATTATATGAAGGACCTTTTGCAGTACTACTGCCAAAAACGGAAGCTGAAATATACGGGAAATATATTGTATTGAAATAATTTAATTTAAATATTAATAGAAACGTCACTATTGGTAGGGAAATGGAAATAAAGAAAGTTTAGTTGCAGGCTAAGTAGGCTAACTATTAAATGTAGGTTTACCTAAGCAATAATTGATTATAACAATGTTATAAAAATAGTCGATCAAGCGAGCAAATTTACTGCCGTCGCAAAATTACTCATAAGTTAAATTTAAACATTGTTTTTTGGATGGATTGTTCTTAAAATATTTTAAATATCATTACCTTGGGCAGACACATTAGAGAACCCACCCGACGGGGTTTGACCAAAGCCGAAACTCATATTGTAAATTATAGTTCAACTGCTAGTTGCCTTTAAAAAGATTTACGCTTATTTTGGTGTTAAATAAAACAAATCAAAGTTAGTAATGAAGAGAAAAACTAAACCAAATAAGCAGTAAATGTATTAGAACAGAAACGAGCAATCTTTTAGAGCACAAATCAAACTATGATTTTTGTTACAACAAAATCGCATGCTATTACAGAATGAAAATGTAATTATAGGTTAAGTACATCGATTCTATTGGAATATCGATATCTATTTGAACAACAAAAACTGACCTAATCTCCTGGATCATTGTTCATTTCATACCTACCGATGAAAAATTTAAAAAATACGATCTATTTAGGGTTGCCAAGCAAAAAATCTTTTTAGTGCTAGACCATAATTTTTTTAAGAGAATTTGATTCTCTTATTCACACCACTTGGCAAAACTCCTTTTAGATGTATGGCATAACATATTTCATAGACTTATTAAAATTATACTTTGGATGGTATCTGTAGTCTGCATGTATGTAATTTGTCAAAGGGGAATGCCCAGCGACCATAAACACTTCGGCCTTGAGTGCAGATATATAAAAGCATATTGAAATGATCATATACAATTTTAAGAACGAAATGGTTAAGGAATTGGTTAAAAAAAAGGCTTTTTAAGATATAAAATAGTTTTTATTTTTACAAATACAGTTTTTAGCTCGAGTGGCACACTAAATTATTATTTGAAACTTGTACTTAATAATAAATATGTAATAATTATTAGATATTATTTAGAATTGACATGGATTAACTATTTACCTGCTGTGCTCAAACTCATTGTTAATTAAGATTTTGAACTTCTGCAATTTCAACAAATTCTTTGCATTTTCGTGTCATTTAAACCACAATTGACACAAAAATAATTTTGAAAATCGGATTGACTGAGATGTCACATAATACGTATAAAAAAAAAATACAGTCGAAATGAAACCCTCCTCTCTTCGTGTTTTTGAAGTCTGTTGAAAGTGAAGTCGCTGTATGTTCCTGTAGGGAGTATGTTCTTGGGAGGAGGCAGACTAGCAGACGGATCACCTGATGGAAAGTGACCATCGCTGCCCATGAACATCTGCAACCCAGGAGTCACAAACGCGTTGCCGGCCTTTTAGGAAGGAGTACATTCTTTTCTTGAACGTTTGAAGGTCGTATCGGTCCGGAAATCGGAGAAAGGGCTTATTAGTAAGTAGTAGTAAGTAAAGGGCTTATTAGTAAGTAGTGGTATGTAATTTCATTTCCTTCTAATTGTTGGATTGCCATTGCAATTTCTTCGTTGATTAATTTGTATTCTAGTTGCTTTTTACTTTTATATGTTTCGGTTTCAGTTAATGGAACTTCCAACAATTGTGCCAATGTGAGATATTTTCATCCTATATAACGATTTATCTTTCCATGCCTCAAAATTATTGTTCATTCTTATATTTTCTTTTGCACAAGTACATGATTATATCATTTTATTCTTTCTTTCTTTAACCACTGTTTTTGGAAGTACCTTCTTGTTAAATTTTTTAAGTACTTTACTGGGATTATTCGGCATTTTCGTCATAACGTCAATATTTTGCGGGCGCTATTTATTTTACTATGTAGCAGTCGCGTTTTCGGCTTCCTTATTAATCAGAAAAATGAGTGTACCCTACTCATGTTCAGGTTTAATAACAACGAAAAATACGGATTGTCATCACCCCTACTCATCGAGTGAGTGTCGTATGAGCTATCTGGCCAGCGTGGTATAGTAGGCCAAAACCTCCTTTCTGTGAAGAGGCCTATATCCAGCAGTAGACTATTAAAGTCTGTTGATGATGATGATGATTAGTTTTAACAGACTAGATATCAGAATAGTCGTAGGAACCAGTGCGAAATATCGATGGTCTTGAATCGACGATGGTCTTCTCCTATACCTCCCTTCCAAGAAGAGGTTTATGTCCAGCAGTGGACTGTTAAAGGCTGTTGATGATGATGATGAAGAATTCTCCAACATACAAGATCGCTCCTAGATGCCCGCGAACGCCTCAGGATGCTTCTGTAGTTCTGGAAGGAGCTAGACTGGACTAACCTAGCCAGCCTTTATCTCTCACATAATGGACCGCTTCTGAGCCCAAGTGCGAAAATATTTTTTTCCCCACCAATACGGAAAAAAAAAATCATTCAAAAGTTCTTGTTTCTCACACTATGGATGGTAATAAACATAGGTTCCTCTGCTTATTCACTATAGCATCTCGCCAATTTGCTAACATACCTGATTTTGCATAAATTTCTCTATCTAATCTTTTCATTCGACGAATTCACAAAGCCACTCAACAACCACCTTTTAAGGGGAATCTGGGTTTGGCGGTGTGCCAAGCCCCGCCATTTGCAAAACATAAGCGCTTACTACTATTGTAACTTGTAAACAAGATAGTGTTCTGATTTTTTTTTGTGTCATTTATAACTATCAGTTTTGAGGCTTTGACTAATATAAGCTTATTTGGTTGATTGTTCATTTTGATTAATATTATAAATGCGAAAGGTCGTTTGTAAGTTATTGTTCTTGTGTGTTAATTATTCTGTCAATCATTCTGCATAGGTAAACGTTGTCAAGGAGAAAACTATACTACCATAGGAAGAAAAAACAGTGCCCAAAAGATAAAGAGATTGAGATAAATCCTTTCTTAGAAGATTACGTTAAATTATAGTAGGTAGTAACTATATAACTTTCCGTGTGGTGACGGATTAAGAATACAGAGTGTCACCACCCCTATTCATCCCGTGGGTGTCGTAAGAGGCGACTAAGGGAGCGAAATACGCAGGACACCAGCACTGCAGAGAGAAGGAAAACTTGACACAAACCCTATACCAACCCGTCTGGCCAGCGTGGTATAGTAGGCCAAAACCTCCTTTCTAAGGAGAGGTCTATGTCCAGCAGTGGACTGTTAAAGGCTGTTGATGATGAACTATATTGAGGATATAAGCTGCTAAGGACATGACAAACTAGAGGTGCCTAGTTAGGTACTTATTGAAGAACATATCATCATCCTATCGCAGTCCACTGCTGGATATAGGCCTCTCCCATTGCACGCCACTTAGATCGATTTTGGGCTATTGAAGAACATATTTGTATTCGTAAATACCTAAGGCCGAACTGTATTCCATTTGGTCCTATTGTCTTAATAAATTAAAACAGCTGGACCCAGATCCCTCCTGTTACAGGTGCAGAGTGGCACAACGTGTGGTTTTAATCGGTTCGATTCCGACACACCGCCCCGCCGCAAACCACGATGGGCTCGGCGGGAAGGCCCGAGGGGGTTTACACACTTAAAAAAAGCACTGTATTCTATTTATGACAATATTCGTGTTTTTGCAAAATGTCAGCAACTGGCTAAATGTAAAGACGGTATTTGATAGCTGGATGCCCCTTTTTTATTTAAAAAAATTCAAAATATCCTAAGCTTTAAGTTACGATCTTGACAGGGTCATCAGTGTATTTTATTGGTGGACGACCTACGTTGTAATTTCATATATGCGGTACTACCACACACGTTATATATATACACATTGAGGCACACACATTCGACCTTAATTAGAGAGATTATATTATTAAAAAGTTTTGAATTTTAGGCGATCATTAATAAAACACATGCGCAAACTTAAAAGCATTCCATTTATTAAACTGATTTTAACAAAACAGTAGAAACATTGCACAACTAAACAACATTATACCTAGTTCTTGGAACAAAGGGTACAGGGTTAGCGTCGGGACTGAGGAGCAACCTAACATTCACGTTAGCTCTCCTCCATCGGTTCCACATCACGTAGTGGTCTTTCCATAGTAGGTACACGGTGACTGAGTATCCGCAAAGAACTATTGCCATGAAGAAATCCATAGCTGTTTCAGTTATTCGGTGGGAGATTCCTGAAAACGTGCCAACTGCAGTGTATTTTTTAAGACAGCTATTTTATTTTTGTTGGAATCTGAGTCAAAGAACTGGGGATAAGTTGTCTAAAGAAGAAAAAAAATGCATAATTGGGCGTATAGTCTCCTCCGGAACTCGGCAACCCATTCAGAAAAATATATTTTTTATAAATCAATTTTACTTCTATGAGTACTTCTATACCTGCAAAATAAACGCCGCTTTACTGTGTGTTGTTGAGAAACGTTCAAGGAACATAACAGCGCGTTTGAAAAATTACTCTATTGGCTAACAACTTTTTTGTGGCCCTTTTTCGAAATGGTCATTTTTCGGTTTTTATAATATAAAAAACGTTGATGCATATGTTGTATTTATTAAACCCACGTTTTGTTATTATTTTAAGTCTTAATATTTAAAAGAACGCGAGTTATGAATTTTTCAAAAAATGGTCATACTCGTATAACGCGGCATTTTGCAATTTATTTAAAAAGTACAGGACCGATCAAGGATGAAAAAAAACTGCTTCGATTTTTCTTTTTATTACGCATTATTCCCCTTGACTTTTTATAAACTTTTACGCTTTTCGTGCACGCAAAAAAACGATTTTTACGATTTTTGCCATTTTTTTTGACCGCCTGCCTTACCGCGGATTGGCTTTTACTTTTAGGGTGTAATTTCTGACGTTACAATCTAACGAAAAAAATAATTAAAACCAAGGTTATCAATTTCACTTTCGAATAATCTAATTCTATCGTATTCTATCTATTCAACTACTATAAATTTTGATTCTCTTGAGAGTGTCGGAATGTGCGTTTTTTTTGCGGCATGAACTTTTTTACTTAGAAGTTTGATTTTTTCATAGCTTTAAGGGACAGTAGACTTGAGTATATGGTTTTAATTTTAACATCATACAGCCACACGTTCCCCAAATAAAGGGTCGTGACAGACGAACAGGCAGAGACGGATAACAAAGTGATCATATAAGGGTTTCGTTTTTTTTCCTTTTGAGGCACGGAACAATTGGAGTAATTGGAATTATTTGATCAAAATGTGTGTTAATATAACCATAAGTAATGTATATAATTTACGCAAATCGACCAGTAGTTCAATTAAAGAATTGTTGTCTGTCAGTAAAGTACACGATGGGATCGACGGCTCTCGATAAGTGAAAAAAAAACTAAAAAAATAAACAAAAAAGAATAAAACACACCTTCATCTTTTCTAGCGCCTTCGAGCTTACCGAAATTGCTGCCTTCTATCACAAAGTATTGTGTGCCAACGATGCAGACGGCGAGCAGGCCAGCCGTCACGGTCGACAGAAGCCAGAATATTAAGCAGTCGGACTGTAAAATATATTAAAAGTTAATTAAAATATCTGCAATAATTATTGTATAGTGACATCGTCAGAAAGCTTTTGCTGTTTTTTATTTTTTTATATAAAAATAGGCATTATTTTCGCATTATTATCACCGAAAATAAAACATTATAAAAGTTTTTGTCTGTATTATTACGGCTGGCCGTCTGTGTAACTTGTGTTTTTTTATGATATTGGCAAACGAGCAGACGCGGACGGTCATGGTGACAACCATCGCCCAAGTACACCTGCAATTTATGAGTCACTCCGGTCAAGCCAGCCTATTTGTGCTGAAGTGTGGCTACCTAGTTAATGTTGATAGCGCCATCTGTCGTAAGGTACAGAAAATGGATAGGCCAAGGGAGTTAGGAAAGGGGATACGGTAAGCCTCGAATGGGTAAGGGACGAAGATCGAAGTACCTCGAAGAGGTTTGCGCCACATGCCCATATGTCAGTGTTATTGGAGAGGCCACGGGAATAAAGATTACACTCTATTTCGTACACCTTTCTAGAAAGACCGCAACTAAAATAATTTTGCAACAGTAATAGAACAATATCTTTGACAAACAAGCACACAACACCACACAATTTATGATGAATTTATGGTAAGTAGTTGTTTGCATCTATGATCACTAGTACTCGTAAAGTAGCACATGTGTATTATCAAACCAATTCTGACCGTACTGTGCAGTTCTGGCATCTGCACAATTTTACAAATTTTGAGTAATATTTGTTATTCAATAACACTAGAATGGCTGAAGGGAGCTGGATGAAATCTGGCTGTATCATGGTCGGGAATAGAATAGTACATATAAATACTCTATATCGCGGCGAAAGTGATTAATAAAATCGACATTAACGTGACCAAAGCAAACAAGGCACAAGCTATTGTGTAATTAATTGGCGTTGTTACAATTATGACGATTTAAATTCAAGTAATTCTATTCAAACTCCACTCTTCAATCTAAGGCGTTTTTGCACAGTTGCTCAGATGAAATATTACCGTCACTAACAAGAGGGGGTTCCTCCGTCAAAATGGTATTTGTCAAAAGTGGTACCTAATGCCGGAACACTGCCCGAAGCCGTAGATTTGGAGTGACATTGTTATATCGCCGGTATATTTCATCGTTTGCTCTGTTATAGCGAGATTGCCAAAAGACAGGGAAAATCGAATTTTGCACTTTGTTTGGAAGATAATGCTTTTTAAGTTAGTACAATAGGTTGTGTTTCTTCTCTTTAGGGGTGGATAGCCAAATCATATAAAATGTACATTTATTTTAGCACCTTTTCATACGCGAGTAACATATAGCTGTTAAAACGGTCTTTCCATAAATCCTTTTAAGAAAAAGTTAAACTAACTTGACAATACTAACAAAGTGCACTAAAGATAAAAAAACTACCATTTCTGTGAAGGATACGTTTGTACTCGTAATGAGTAGATAGTAATGTTTTTAATACGAAACTGTAGTCTGTTGGATTATATTAAATTTAGTTTGATAAGTCCGTTACTTTATTTAGATAGATAGTAAGATGTTACATTTGCCCTTAAATATGTATTGTTTTCCACAATACTTAATTTACCACTATTAGGAGTAGCATTTTTTGCAACTTTTGAGTGGAACCAAAGGGGTAATATACCCTTTCAAATTAAAAAAGAATTTTCCAAATCGGTTTACAAATGAACGAATTTCAAGTTTACAAGTTTCGTAATCTCAGTAATTACTTTCTTGTGCAAATATCTCTGTAACCCAACACAAACATCTAACAAATATTTTGAAAGAATAAAACAAGATCAATACATGATTATTTTATTGAAAGAGTTATCCGCTAACTCCTAAAGGTCAAGGACCCTTTCATCATCAGCTCAGCAACATGACATAACTACTCCTAAACGAAAATACCTGTATAGCTAGAAAATCAAGCTAAAACACGTTGTCGGGGCTGTAAAATTTGAGGGATTCCCTCGATTTCTCTAGGATTCGATATTCAGATCCCTATTTGATGATAACCTCGGGGGTACAACTATGACTACCGGCCATGGAGCGTATGACGGCCGGTAGTGAGAGATCTCCCCCGATGACTGCAGTGAGGACCCGACAATTTTTTTTTAAAGACAACTCTCGCATTAGGAATATAGCCTGTGTCGCAGGGAATTTTACAAACATACATGAAACGGACACAAAGAACACCCAGACTCAGAACAACAATTTGTAGATCACACAAAGTGTCGTCCCATGTGGGGTTTGAACCCACAACACTCGGCGTAATAGGAAGCGGTGTGGCGACCGCTTTAACCACTATGCCGTCCGTGCAGTCTGCGACGCCCAGCCGCTTTTCCAGAACTCAGGGAAGCGTCTGGCGTGAAATACCTTCCCGATGCGGTCTCCCATGTGGTTGAGGGCTAGGGCCAGCACTCAGGCTGGTATCCCGTCTGGCCCAGGGACGACCTTCTTGGAACGGATCAGTAGAACCGCCGCCCCTACCTCCGAATCCCGGACGGGCGGAACATCATCCCCGTTCTCCCTGTCGTTTCTGGCCAAGAAGGCCATTGACGGGGCTATGTGCTCCGCCCGTTGCGGGAATAGGCCCTCTACCACTTCCTGCACGAAGCTGGGCTGGAGAGTCTCTGTAAGAGGGGGGACCGACGCGCGGAGCTTTTGTCGCACCGCGCGATAAGGGCGACCCCAGGGATCACGATCGAGACTCTCCAGCATCTCCTTTCTTTTCACTTCTTTGGCTATTGCCCAGCTTCAGAGTTTTCCGCGCCTCTCGGTACTCCTCATGAAGCCGGTTCTCCTCACCGTAAATTTCATAGTCCCAGTCGTTCCCGAATCTCAAGAGAGGAGGAGCGCTTGCCCAAGGCAAGAGAGAGTGAGGAACGGCGGCTGCGGTCGCGATCGCTAAAAACACCGCTCTCCAGATCCTGAACTCCACTTCGTCTAAATGGAGATGAGGAAGAAGAAAGCGATAGCTCAGCTTCGATAGGGTCGAAGAGGGAAACGCGCTGGCAGGCGCTGAAACGAGGGAATATGTGACCCGATGAGGAAGACGAAACTGGTCTTGGGAACGAGAAGTACTCTATCAATTTTGGTTTCCTTGTTTTGGTCGAAATATGTGTTTTATACGGCATAAGCGGCTGTATCTTTTTTTTATGTTAACTTAGAAGTTCGATTTTTCACAGCTCCAAGGGACTGTTGACCTGAGTATACGGTTTTGATTTCAACTCGATACCTTTTAGCGTTGCCGAGATAAGGGGTCTTGACAGACAGGCAGACAGATAGACGGACAACAAGGGTTCCGTTTTTAACCCTAAAAATAATTCGAATTGAGAACCTCCTCTTTTGTGTTTTTGAAGCCAGTTAAAAATAGTGTTGTATTTGTAGTTGTATCGTATTTAAAGAGAAAATATTCACTAATCGATTATGGAATTGCAAAATGGGTGTATTAAACCAAAAATAAACATACAATCTCGAATTCAACTCGAAATAATTTATGTTAAGTAGGATTTTAAAGAACCTTGTTTTTGAAACATCTTACAGGCCTTACAGCTGGCATATCCACTAATTTGCGAAATATTCTTAGTTTTAAAAGAACTGAAATCCATGTTCGAGGAGGAATACTTCTAAAAACAAATAGGTATTTTTATTGTAATCGTCGTGTCAACTTATTAGGGTGTCATTAATTGATTGTTCATCGAACTGACAAAAAGAAAATGAATGGACAGAGTACAGTTCTAAATAAAACGTCATGTCACATGTTCAAACTCAATATCAGAATCTAATATCATATTTTTCTCATTTCAACTTGACAAAGATCAGCACATAACGTCATTTTCCATTCGCGAAAACAGAATATGAAATTTAAATCGACACATTCATAAATATATTTCCAAAGGCACACAACAAAGATAAACCGAGACGGTGCTGACGTAATTCAATAAGTAACAAGTGACAAGAGTGACAGAAATCCAATATGTGCGTGTCTTGTCACGTCAAGTCGCGTCAAGTATCTTTAGTGAAGTAGTCCACTGAGGCGACAAGCAGAGCGCGTCTTTTATAAGTCAAAAGTAGTAATGAGGTCAGTTAGCCTGGTCAAACTATGTAATGATGATTCATTTACACTCGTTAAAAAAACATAGTGTATATAATTTAAATAATTAATTAATTAAATTTACCACATAATTAATTTATTGATTAAATTTACCATATAATTAATGTATTAATTAAATTTACCATTTAATTAATTAATTATTTAAATTAATTATTTCTTTGAAGTGGCGTTTTTGCAAAAGAAATGAGATAGATAATAATTAAACATGAATTGATTGCAAACAATTATTTTTGCAAGGGACTAAATAATTTTTAGTTCTACGTTCGCGAGTAGTTTATTATACTCATTAATTACGGTTCATTCTAAACTTAGGTTGAATATAAGTATTTTAAAATCTGTCGTGCATTTTTAAATTACGGCAAACCGGTTAATAATAAGTGACTGTTAGGTTAGGTATTTATTTATGTTCAAAGTTTGGCTTTAAAATTCGGGCGCATACCGCATCAGTGGATGACATCACTTAGAAAACATCGTTCGCCATCTTGCGGTCAACGGTTTCGTATGAAATATTATAGCGTTTGGGAAACGCTTCGTACGACGACAGTTAATTTTGAAATATGTGACGCGACCCGGAATTTAATTTTGTGACATTAGGGTTTTGACGTTATTAATCTATTACTTAAAGGGTTCGGTAAATCTGGATCCGGGTTCAGTATTCATAGGCTACCTTTATTCTTTGTGTGCGAAGCACAGAATGGTTAATGATGTTTTTACCTTTTCGCGGACCTTGTTCTGTATAAAAACAGCACATTAATTTCGAGCACATTAAAACAACTGCATAAGTACTAAAATGCAATATTACAAATGTCAGCAAACGCTAAAAGTAAAAGTATTGGGACGAGGTTTCTACTATACGACTACTACTATTTTATATGTTATTTATTTCTGCCGTTTTTTACCAAAAACTAAAATAAAACATTTATTTATCTTGCCGTGCAATATTTTTAATCCAGAGAGAACCCAGAATAGTATCTTAAAGTCGAACGGTCGGTAGGTGAAATCCGGACTTATGACCGGTTTAGGCGTCTTGCAACGCACATATGTATATAAATGGTTTCTGGCCAGGTGTTAGTGATCTCGAACGATTTATCGATAAAAGGCTGTATGTCTACAATTTCGTTATGGAATATTTTGATTTTGGCTTAAAACATTTAATTACCGCATGAAGAGAAGTTAGATACTCTAAACTTTAATGCGTTTAATTAGGGTTCCGTACCTCAAAAGGTAAAAAAGGAACCCTTATAAGATCACTTTCTTGTCCGTCACCACCGATTTTCTCAGGAACGAGTAAACCTAGCAAGATGAAATTTATACCAGATACTGAGGTCTATGGTCCCTATTAGGTGTATAAAAATCAAGGTCCTGAGTTAACACGATAAAAATAAGACCTTGCTTTTAACAAAAATTGACAATTCTAGGTCAACCGGAAGTACCCTATAGGTTTTGGGTCGAAAACCTATATGGTATTTCCCGTTGACCTAGAATGACGAAATTTGGCAAAAAGAATCGTCTTACAGCACAAATAAAGGAATAATTACAAAAATAAAAAAAGTTGAAAATTAAGATAAATTTTGGTACTTACAAATCTTCGCGAAAATCTACGTAAAATCTGGGTAGGTACGGAACCCTCGGCGCACGAGTTCGACTCGTACCTGACCTGGTTTTATTTTTTAAGAGATGTAGGCCCGATTGTGATTTCCTTTACCTCATAAAAATGGCGACATATATGCTCTGCATTACATGAACTTGCCTTGCCGCTGATCTTGTTAATATGAATTAACTTTAGGTAAATTTGCGCTATGCAATTTAAATTGCAGTTTATTATTATACAAACACGCAAATAAAAAATAAAAACCAGAATGTAAATTTTGTTTTTTTTTACCTGTAAATGGCTTCTGTTCCGCGGGTTTCCGAACCACAGTCTGAGCGCCTGTAGCACCGTGTAACGGGGTGTGCGAATTGCCGGATAACTGAAAAAAAAAGATTTTAGTGCAGAGTATCGTCATGCATTCGGTCGCACTGGATGTGACAGGTCGAATGAATCTTTTACGTAGGGCTGGGCTCTAGTTTATTCGTGGTTTTAATTCTTACGTCACAGAATTTAAATTGGACAATAGTGGACTCTATGAACTAAGAATAGTTCTTTCTATAATTTAGTACTAGAAAGGGTAAATAATTTATCCCTTTGCTTAGAATACTTTTACTACATCTAAATTGCCGGCCCAATGGAGTGAAGAGAACAAATGTTTCAACTATGCATATTTCTAATACACTTTCGCCATTTGCAATAACTAATATAATAAAAAATAATGAAATTCAAATTATTTAGTTGAACAAGGAGTAATAAACAAATGAAAGATCATGAACACCAAAACAGTTGGGTCGTTTTTAACTATAATTTTTATTTGAACATTAAAAGATTACAATTAGGTCAAAGCCATTAAATAAACTTATTTTGTTCTCTAACTGACCGGCGCAACTCAGTATGCGTCTCTCACAAGGATTAAATTTTGCCCGTTTTTGCAACATTTTAATTAATGCTCTACTCCTGGTGGTTGCGTGATTTTAGCATATAGCCTTCCTCGATAAATGGGCTATATAATACTGAAAAAAAAATCCATTCTAACCGGTAGTTCCTCAGATTAGCGCCTTCAACCAAACTAACAAATTCTTGAGATTTATAATATTAGTGTGAACTTTGTTTAATCCTTTTTAAATTTCGACTGCTATTTTTAATTTAGACGGTAACGAGTAAGGTCACTTATTGTTTCTTTATCGGACCAAGATTGCTCATTTATGTTAATTTGTGTATCTGTATAATATATAAATGCACACAGAGCAATGCAAATAGATATATTAATGCATATACATGATTTTTTGCTATAATCGCGAATAGAACCCGAGACCCCGAACATTCCAGTCGACTACATCACCATCACCACATCGCTGTACATTGACAGATATATTTATTAGATTGTTATGTATTTCGTCCGTGTGGTGACGGATTAAGAATACGGAGTGTCACTACCGCTATTCATCCCGTAGGTGTCGTAAGGGTTGACTAAGGGAGCAAATTACGCAGAACAACAGCACTGCAAAGAGAAGGAAAACTTGGAACAAACCCTAAACCAACCCGTCTGGCCAGCGTGGCATAGCAGGCTAAAACCTCCTTTGTAAGAAGGGCTGTTTCTATCTATACTAATATTATAAAGCTGAAGAGTTTGTTTGTTTGTTTGTTTGTTTGTTTGTTTGAACGCGCTAATCTCTGGAACTACTGGTCCGATTTGAAAAATTCTTTCAGTGTTAGATAGCCCATTTATCGAGGAAGGCTATAGGCTATATATCATCACGCTAAGACCCATAGGAGCGGAGCACCAATGAAGAATGTTTCAAAAACGGAGAAAATTTATTACTATTGAGACGCAGACGAAGCTGCGCGGGTCAGCTAGTGTATAATATAAATGTATTTCCAAAAAAAAAGTATATATGTATTTATATCAGTTGTCTAGTAGCCATAGTACAAGCTCTGCTTAGTTTGGGACTAGATGGCGTAGTGTGAATGTGGTAGAATATTATTTTATAATTATTCATAGTATTATATAGTACGTATAAATTATAGTACCTGGATGACCGCTTTGCTCGGTATTTATTTTTGGTAAATGTTCTAAAAATGAAACCTAGCTAGATCGATTAATCGACCCCGAAATCCCCTGCATACTAAATTTCATGAAAATCGTTGGAGCCGTTTCCGAGATTCAGATCGACTCTTATTACAGACCTGCCACACACACATCTCTGCATCACCCAAACAGTTCAGCGGAAGAAAATGCCTATGGCATTAGGTCCGCTTCATGCAATGTAGCAGAAAGTATAAATAAATAAATAAAAATAGTTTAAAAGTCAGTATTGGTAGGTCGTTGAACTTTTAATAAAAAGAAAACAGTTATGATACTTCATCGGAGTTCTCTACAATACTTTTGAAAAATAGTCCAGACACCGAATGAAAATAGAATTTTGAGAAGGCAGATCATGGGATATTGATGTTGGATCGAGATAGAAAATACCCTTCGGGAGACGGAAGCCATTTCCTACCTGAGTTTCAACCAGACTTTTGTGATAAATGATCGGGACATGTTACGAAGATAGATTCTGGTACTGATTGTATTTAAACGTGTTTTTTAGTTCTACAGCAGTTACTAGAGCGTTTAAAAGAATACATAAATTTGTTCCAGCCCTGAAATATTAGTTAATTGCTAATTAATTTTATTTATAACCGACTTCAAAAACACAAAAGAGGAGGTTATCAATTCGTTTGTATTTTTTTTGTACGTTTGTCACGCTATATTTCCGTCAGTTGTGGACCGATTTTCAAAATTATTTTTGTAATCGAAAGGATATGCTCCCGAGGTGGTTCCATTACCACCAAATTAGGATCTGATGATGATCCTAGAGAAATTTTACAGCCCGACAACGTGTTTTAGCTTATTTCTTTTGCTTTCCAAAAATAGTAAAATAAATTATAAAAATATTAAAAAAGTTGAACCGACGTCAAACAATAGTGACAAAGAGCTATTCATAAGTTATTTTAATAATATGGTATACATATTTGCATGCTATTTTTATGGCTAAATGGGCCTGTTCGCATTATATTAAACTTGTAATACCACATTATTACCCTACATTAGTACTAAGCCATTTAAAGCAAATAAATAATTTGAATTAAGTAACGGCTATAGTACTAAGGAAACCGTAATTTATTAAAAATTATGAAATAATTTAAATTTGTTCTTTTTCACTTTTTTTCTTAAACTCAAACTATATTTACAAATAATAACGGCGTGAGGGGTCTACGGACCCCCGGTCGGAACGAAATTTCTTTCGCTTTTTGGTGGCATATATTAAATATGAAAAAAAGATGTGAGCGTCAACGCGCCAACCGTAGTGTCGGATAAAAGTATTGTTACGCATTTTTCGGTCTTGCTCCCATCCGCTCAGAGCGGATAAGAAACTTCATTCCAAATTAAACATTCGAATACTACTTAGGGCATACTGAAAGTTTCTGGATTCTGATAAATAAGACTAGATATTAGACTTATGATACATTCATTGTTTTTCTAAGTATATTCCCTCGCAAGTCATTGGTTCTATGTCTGCGTGTTATTTAGCTTAATAATATGTATTACAGAACAGTGAATAAACTGTTATGTGATTTATATGCTACATACGTATCTGTATCAGCAGTTAGGTTACGATAGCACATGCTCTGCCTAGTTTGTGATCAGACGGCAGTGTGTGAGATGAGTAAGGTTATTTATTATTATTGGTCTGTACTTAAAAATAGGTACTTGCATATTTTTTTCAAAAATAAGTACATATTATATTTCTAGTATATAATAATATACAAGTCCGTAGGGAGAGGCCTAGGTCCAGCAGTGGACCGTTAAAGGCTGTTGATGTGATACAAGTCCGTGTGGTGACGGATTAAGAATACAAATACAAAGAATACAAAGAGCCGACTAAGGGAGCAAACTAAGCAGGACAACAGCACTGCAAACAGAAGGAAAACTTAAAACAAACCCTATACCAACCCGTCTGGCCAGCGTGGTATAGTAGGCCAAAACCTCCTTCCTGAGGAGAGGCCTATGTCCAGCAGTGGACTAGTATAGGCTGTTGATGATCATAATATTATCATGTAATTAGTTTACTTTTTCTACCAGTGTCACAAATGTAGATATATAGGCACTATAAATGGAGCAATATTGAATTTCTAAAGCGAAGATATAACTCAGCCCACAATATTGCAATTGATAGAATTAAACTTAATCTGTAACTACGTTTTACCTGACCAGGGTTGTCAAAGAAGAACACGAACAGATTGTTAAAACATTACATATTATAAATAAGACTTCAATGCGATAATATCATGATCAGCTGTAAAAAACTGGACATTTTATTCCTTAATTTTCACCCGAAACTGGAATGGAACCAAGGCGAAGTGTATCGATTCAGGAATTTGCCAAATCGGTTTATAATTGATTGAGTTTTGAGGTAACAATCATAAAAAAATCTCCCTTTTACGAAGACCAATATAAAATAATTATCTTTTAAAATCAGATTTCGATAAGATTTAGAATCAGTGTGGTGACCGATTAAGAATACGGAGTGTCATCACCCCAATTTATCCCACGGGTGTCGTAACAGCCCACTAAGGGAGAAGAAAAACTTGTTACAAACCCTATACCAATTCATCTGGTCAGTGTGGTACGAGTATAGTAGGCCAAAACCTCCTTTCTAAGGAGAGGCATATGTCCAGCAGTGGACTATTGAAGACTGTTAATGAAGATGATAAATTTTTAAATAAAAATCACCGTCTTTACATGGTGATAAATTGTTATATAATGTTTTATTTATTCCTTAACTTTATATATATCTATATATTCCACATAAATATATCTTTTCTTCAAATTTAAATTGAATTAAACAGAAAGTATACCCTCCCAAATACTTTTATTTGGGAGAAATTTCCAAATAGGTTCATGAATGACGGAGTAACACGGTAACAAACATAAAAAGACAATCGGATTAAAGACATTTTCCTTTTTAAAGTCCTTTTAAAAATTATAGAAAAGCTTTAGGCCTGTCTTGTAATATTAACACACAAAACATTGCTAGAAAATGGTTGTAAACAAACAGATTTAATTTAATGATCTTCTTTTTACTACAGTCTTTTACTACAGGCAACTTCTTTTCAACAAAACTTGGCCAACACGGCCACCGCTGAATGTTCATTTTTTAAAATCTATTACTTTTTTGGTGTTAGTTAGCAGATAAATTTTGTGAAGTAATTAAGTTAAATAACATCCTACTAAAGGCAATTTGGCATAATTAAATTTGAACATGTTCTGTCGTTGGACAAATTGCAAGGTTATTAACTTGGCGTAATAAACACTACTTTAAAGATACGAAGGAAACAAACAACCCTACTTGTATCTGAAAGCAACGAGCCGGAGGCAAGTTGAGTAACAGTTCCACTCGATTTCAAACCGTTAATAAAGTTTTAACAATCAAATATCGACAACTTCGTCTCCAACGTTTTTGTCAGTTTAAATATTTCCTACACACTGTTTGTGATAGTTAGGCCCCTATTCAAAAATGTTTTTGTAAAAATCCTGTATTATAGTTTAGAAATAATAGACATTCTTTATATGTTACAATGGGAATACCATCACATGCTGCGAGCATACAGCGGATGATTCCGACTTTTTTGTTTTGGGATTTATTAAAAGAGTCCTGTTATAAAATTACAAATCTTATATACAAATATTTGCCGTTTTTATTTATTTCTAAATTTTTTAATAGTAGTAAAATGCATCTTCAAAACTTACAGTAACATATTGAGTGATAACCTGAATACAAGACAGCTGAGTAGAACTCGTTATAGTGATTCATTTAAAAAAGTTTAAGTAGCAGATAAAAGTCGTGATGTATGTGCAAATATAAGGTGTATAGAAAAAAAATATTAGAGGGAGTTATGTATACATATGTGTACATACGTGGAACATACCTAAAACCACACAGTTCACAATGGTTTCTTCCTACTTGGTTTAGCCATCTCTCTAAGCAACTGAGGTGCACGTTCGCTAGTGATCCTTTACAGTTACACGGAGATATCAGCCTGAAACAGACAATATTGTAAAACATACTGCTTTCCTTACATACATTAATAAAAACGAACTTTATGCCATTTCGGTTGGGCTTCCAAGTACTTAAAGCACTAAGTACTTAAATTAAAGCAAGTGTAAAGAATTCTAACAAGAATAAAATGGGAACTCTTCAATATTATAAATATACCTTTCCCTTCCACGCGTCATACATATTCTGCAAACATTTGATCCGATGCTTGAGAGCGAATCTCGTTGGGCGACGCCCAAATCGGATCTTTCGGACAAGCTACCCGAAGTTTTCTTTTTGTCGGTCCCGGCTTTTGATATTTTAGGTTCAATAGTTTTCGTTACTATCACTTCATTAGTTTTAATTGGCATACTCTCCGTCTGAATATTATTCGAAACACAACTCACGTTCGGAGGTTCGATTATTTCTATTGCCATAGAACTCACTACTGTCTGCATGTTCTGCCTGGGTAGGTCATTTAAGGCTAGTACGTTTCCAGGCTCTTTGTTCAGCTTAAAACAGGAAGCCATAAACTTTTTCAAATCAACTAGAGTTGTAGTATCATCTTTTTCGTTTGCATCATCATCCAAGATAGGAATTTTTAGCTCCTTAAGGTTTAAATTTTTTACTGCTTGTGTGGGAACACCGAAATTCAGTGACCTTAAAGCATTCGTTACATCTTTGCTTGTTATGATGTGTCTTATGCTATGTTCAGATTTGGATATACCAGGTTTAGTAATATATATATTTTTCGGGTTTTGTACAGCTCCTGGTAAAGCTATCGAGCCGGATGGTCCTGCATCATCATTTGTCTGTCCCCTAACATTCTTTGCTTCTGTAGTTTCTTCAGACGTAGTTTTATCTCCATCTTCTATGCTGCTATTTTTTTCCTTGTCTTCCATTAATACTTGCCTACCATTTGTGATATTTAAAAGAAAATATATTTAAAACAAATCTTGTATGAAGGATGCAGTGACAAATTCAATTTGACGTCTTCGTTGAATAGTTTTATTTTACTATGAAACTTTTTGAAGTAAATGTAGTGGAGGTTTTGTTATATCAACACTTTCGTTCATCACCTTTGATTGTGTACGCGTTCGCAAAGTCTGTCAATGCTGTATATGGACGTCTCTACTGTTGAAAAATTAAATAAATTCAAGAAAAAAAAACATTTCCGAGTTCACAAAGAATCGTATTTGCAATACGAAAAGCAAGAATTTGCAATACGAAAAGCAAGCCCGAGGGAGAGAGATGCAATTTTTTTGGTATAATCTTATAATAGGCATTTATTTGATTTATCTGCCTTTATATTTTTTATAACATATATATAATAGGTAGCAAACGAGAGGGCGGGTCACCATTTGGTAATTGACAAATCGCTACTCGTCTACATCTGTAACTCAAGAGTCGCTTGTGTGTTGCCAGAGTTTGAGGTAGAAGTGCGCTCTTTTCTTGAAGGTTTATTCTTTCTTTCGTATCGGAGGTCGAGGTGGTGCCGCTACAACGCTTTTAAAACCACTGGAGGTAGTTCAGAGAGCCGTACTTAAAGTTATTACATACAACTATTTATACTAAGCTTTATACTCCAACAACACTTGATCACGCTATACCTAAATGAAGAAGAAAAATGTTTACTGCACCTCGCATTTACTTACACAAAACGATTCTTTTACTACCTAGGGCTATTTCTGTAAAACAAAGTAGGTAAACCAAAACTTTCCGATACATAAATCCTCTTATGCTTCAATAAAATCTCAAATTGCTCAATATATCTCGAAGAAAACTGAAGGATTGTTCTTAATACAGACTATTAAGTAAAATGAATAAAACTCAGTTGTTTAGTATTTTGAAATAACTAAACGGCTTGAAATAATCCTAAAGCCGAACTAAACCTAAGCTTAGGTTTGAACCAAATCCTCTAACAATTCAGAAGGTAGTTATATTGTAGTGCCCATGTGGTCAGGCCGCTGCACGCCCAGTTTGCGGTTCACCGAATCCTAGTGCATTGGGTTAGTCAGTACGTTAAGGTATAAGAATATGGTTCATATAGTACTAATTATATACAATTATTTAGACTAATTAGCCTAGACTATTGGTAGCCTAGTGCTTAAGGCGTTGGACTTGTGATCAAGAGGTCGTGGGTTCAAATCCTGACCAGTATACTACCGACGTGAACCCACTCCTAACACAAGCAATGCAGTTCAGCGGAAAGGGTTTACGGGAATACTAGTAATTTCGGTTGCTAGTAGATTTAAAAAAAAAAACCTGGGAGTTCCTTGCTACGAATCTTGTTGAAGCAACTATTAATTTTACGATTATTTGAAAATATATCAATTTTTTAATGTGCATATTCTTAAATAGGCACTACATTTGATGAATTTGACATGTAGTTTTTAAAGTCAACTAAATTATGCTGTTTATTTGTAGCCGCTTTTCTTCTCAGGCGGACTACTCACCGGCTGACCCAGTGGAGAGATTGATGAGATAACCTCAGGGCGCCTTTTTAAGAGAACAGATGTGTGTGCGTGTGGGAAACCTACGGGATTCACTAGAGGAAAACAACTTACACCTCAGTCATACATACATGTATATTAAAAATAAAAAAAAACAAAATTAAGGTTACAATAAAAAAAACAGAGGGTATAAGAAAACCCGCAGCGGAGCGCGTCAGAGTCGAGCTGATGGTGCTCGGTGCCTCCTCGTCTTCACTCCAGGAGGTTACTTCCTCTTCCGCCCGAGTCGGCTATTTATATTAGATATTGATAAAAGTTAAACAATTGCATTTATAAGTTTATAAGTAAGTACGTAACCCTTGGGTACGGCTGTCCGCTTGCGTCGTGAGCCGCGCAATCACCAGCTTGCCAGAGGGTACCGAGAAACTTGAATCTGAACCAGAAGGCCACAAACGAGCAAGCACGCCGTCTGAGACTGACCGTCTTGACCCCGAAATCTGGGACCCTACGAATGGATTAGCACTCATATAATTAATCAGGTTCCAGAAACAAATAGGTAAAAAAAAATTAAGACCATACTCACCACTCTCGTGGGTACTTTTGAACAGATAATATATTATGAAAATCAAATCACACAACAATCAAAACACTATTTAAGATTGGAAGACACGAGATAGCAGAGTGTCTCCCGTGGCTGAAAGCCGGACTTATATATCTTCCGTTCCCGAAGCTTCCAGAAATTATACCTACTTCAACATTTTACTTTGACATTTAAATTATCGACGAGGATTAACACGACCAAAGATCAAAAGTAACTCGCTTTCTACCATAACAAAACACTCTCAATACCTATACAATTTGTCACTGACAAATCAATAACTGACTTATCCACAAACAAACGCCATCTAGTGGTCCGACAGTGAACGAAGAAGATCAATACTGTAGTTATAAACTACTTTAGATAAATCAACAACAATGCGACGCGGCCAATAGGTGTCGCTTTTAACAAGACCGTACGCATTACAAATATCCTAAAAAAATAACTGTTACACCACCCCCTCCCTCAAAGTATTCCCTGCGTAGTGAGCGCAGGGAATATCCTCAACAGGGCCAAAATCCGTATAAATGGTTTTACGAACCCCGTGGTTTAGGAAAACATTCTATACTATGACTCGCGACTACAAAGCCTGTGGTTATCCATATAGGACACCACATGACATAACCTGAAGCCATCCGTATGGGACCCAACTCGACAGTAGGCCGGAAGCAATCCTCATAGGACATAATAAGAAAAATTTTTACGTAGTCCGAGACCACAATTGAAAGAACATTTCCCATGTAGGAAATGTAGTGAATGGACCCCTCAGGTCACAAAGGATGTCCTGAAAAGGTCTAATCAGTTATAACTACACCGGCTAACCTATCTAGAAGGTATTTAGCCCCAACTCTAGTAAGACAATTTATAATACGAAACGGAGTCACCTGAAGAAAAAACCTGTTCCAGTTCAAAGACCTTAAGCTCGCTGACAGACAATGTCAGAGGCGGCAAAGGCAGGAACAGCGGCGATGGCCTTAATGCTGCCACGCCGGATAAGCCGCAAAGCAGTACGCATCTCACTTCGCAAGCCGACAACCGTATCCTCAGGATTCGCTGAAATCCCCATGGAAGACAGTTCATTAATAAGTTCATCAATTTTAAGGTAGTTAATGCACTTACGTACATGTGCCATGGTGGTTTACAATTCAAATTCGATTATACAAAAAAAATAATCTTAACAAGTTAACAAACTAGTGGTGCAGACTTAATGTCTTTTACAGTTCACAAAAGTTAAAAAATAATGCTATTGAGTAGACTTCTTCACTATTAACAGAGTGTGAGAAAGTTAAAGTAAATTAATATTTTAAAAATATTATAACAAAATATTAAAACATCAAGTAATATCTCAAAGTAAAAAAATAATGCTACTGAGTATATTTCTTCACTATTAAATGTGAGAAAGCTAAAGCAAACTAATATTTCAAACAAATATCATAATAAAATATTAAAACATTAAGTAATATTTCAAAGTAAAAAATAATGCTACTGAGTATACTTCTTCACTATTAAGTGTGAGAAAGCTAAAGCACACTAATATTTAAAAAAATATTATAATAAAATATTAAAACATTAAGTAATATTTCAAAGTATAAAATAATGCTACTGAGTATACTCCTTCACTATTAAGTGTGAGAAAGCTAAAGCACACTAATATTTTAAAAAATACTATAATAAAATATTAAAACATTAAGTAATATCTCAAAACTTGAGAAGCAAATTCAACTAAAGACAAAGATATTCTTGTTTCACAATTTAAGACACAAGTTATATTATCTTTAGAATATTGACATAGTAATCCAATGGATTGACAAAGTTTATTATTATAAAAGTTATTTCGACATAAATTCTTAGTAGGGTATGTATACAACAAAACTATTTTATTTTAATTTTAAACCAGTAGGTTATATAAAAAATGGAGGGTACATAAAACTTTATAAGTTAAGTTAAGTTTATAAGTTAATTACACCAGGAGTACTGGGATAAAAGAACACACTGAATATACACGTATGCACAACTTCACGCTACGGACCTCAAAGGTACGAACAGAAGTAGCTAACAAAAAAAAAAGAAAAAAAAATTTAGTTTGGCCGAAAAATGTTTCAAAACTTACCCAGATATGTGCAGTTGGAATTTTGAGTCAATTTGGAATTTAGGTGTCTCACTGATTTTCCTTGCCTCAGGGATGATGGTACAATAGGCTGAAAATACAATGAGGGTAAAATTATTACATGCGTACTGCACCCGCACAACCAATTAACGTCCTGGGGAGTTTCGGACGGAGGGAAGTGTCTCCTCCAAAGTGAATACCCCTAGGCACCCTCACACAGCACACACACAGAGGTCTGAATCGATGGCCCCACGTTGGGCGCCAATTTGTAGCCGCTTTTCTTCTCAGGCGGACTACTCACCGGCTGACCCAGTGGAGAGATTGACGAGATAACCTCAGGGCGCCTTTTTAAGAGAACAGATGTGTGTGCGTGTGGGAAACCTACGGGATTCACTAGAGCAAAACAACTTACACCTCAGTCATACATACATGTATATTAAAAATAAAAAAAAAACAAAATTAAGGTTACAATAAAAAAACAAAGGGTATAAGAAAACCCGCAGCGGAGCGCGTCAGAGTCGAGCTGATGGTGCTCGGTGCCTCCTCGTCTTCACTACAGGAGGTTACTTCCTCTTCCGCCCGAGTCGGCTATTTATATTAGATATTGATAAAAAGTTAACAATTTGCATTTATAAGTTTATAAGTAAGTACGTAACCCTTGGGTACGGCTGTCCGCTTGCGTCGTGAGCCGCGCAATTCACCAGCTTGCCAGAGGGTACCGAGAAACTTGAGTCTGAACCAGAA